TGGAGGAGGTGCTCAAAGGCAGTATGTAAAAGTAAAGGTTAAGGTTTCCCTTGACATTAAGTCTAGTCGAGTCCAACTCTGAGATGTGTGCTCATCTCCATTTCTAAGCTGAAGAGCTGGCGTTGTCCGTAGATGCCTCCTAGGTCATGTGGCTGGCATGACTGCATGGAGCACTGTTACCTTCCTGCTGAAATGGTACCATCTCACATTTGCATATTTTCAAACTAATAGGTTGGCAGAAGCTGGGGCTAACAGCAGGAGCTCACCCTGCTCCTACCGATTTGAACCACTGACCATCTGGTCAGCAAGTTCTGCAGCTTAGCAGTTTAATCCACTGTGCCACTGCAGCCCCTGTCTTTATCTATATAAATAAAAATGTAATGTTTGTTTGTGGGATTAACAGAACTCAAAAACCACTGGACGAATTGACACCAAATTTGGACACAAGACACCTAACAACCTAATGTATGTCCTTCACTCAAAAAATTGATTTTTTCATTTGGGAGTTGTAGTTGCTGGGATTTATAGTTTACCTACAATCAAAGAGCATTCTGAACCCCACCAACGATGGAATTGAACCAAACTTGGCACACAGTTCTCCCATGACCAAGAAAAAATACTGGAAGGGTTTGGTGGGCAGTGTCTTTTGGTTCTGAAGTTGTTGTTTGAGTGCATTGTTTGTGCACTCAAACAATGATGGATCTGGACCAAACTCTACGCAAATACTCAATATGCCCAAATGTGAACACTGGTGGAGTTTGGGGAAAGTAGACCTTGACATTTGGGAGCTATAGTTGCTGTGATTTATAGTTCTCCTACAATCAAAGAGCATTCTGAACCCCACCAATAATGGAATTGAACCAAACTCGGCACACAGTTCTCCCATGACCAACAAAAAATACTGGAAGGGTTTGGTGGGGAGTGTCCTTTGGTTTTGGAGTTGTAGTTTGAGTGCATTGTTTGTGCACTCAAACAATGATGGATCTGGACCAAACTCCACACGAATACTCAATATACCCAAATGTGAACACTGGTGGAGTTTGGGGAAAATAGAAATTTGACATTTGGGAGATGTAGTTGCTGGGATTTATAGTTCACCTACAATCCCAGAGCATTCTGAACCCCACCAACAATAGAATTGGGCCAAACCTCCCACACAGAACCCCCATGTGAGCCACAGCAACGTGTGGCAGGGGACAGCTAGTAAATAAACATTTAAATTATAAATATAAATAAATAAACAAAGCCTCCAAGGAAGTAGACTTCACCAGACTCTGAGGCAGAGAGTTCCACTGCTGAACAGCTCTTATAGTCAGGAAGTTCTTCCAAATGTTCAGGTGTCATTGGAACCCATTGTTGCATGTCTTAGTCTCCTAGTAGTTTGAGGCCAGGGCTCAAATATCTGCTTGATCATGGAAACTCACTGGGTGACCTAGGCCAAGTCACTCTCCTCCCTCCTCGAAAGGAGGAGACCAACATCTTCTGAACCAATCTTACCAAGAAACCCCTGTGATAGTGTCAATTTGAAGGCATGCCACAACAATAGCTGCAGCAGAGTCATTTCTCATCAACAGTGTAGAGTTACGCCTTCAACAATGATTTACTTATACATTTGTTATGCTGCTCCCAAGCTCTAAGTAAAGCCAGAGAGATTAAACCGCCCTGTAACTGTATTTCAACATATTCAATGAGATCGCTTGTCCTTGTAAAGGCATCCTCGCTAATTCTCTGTTGTTTCATTTCTGAATATATTCTCTTTGAGGAATGTACTCAAGGCAGAAACAAATATATTGTGAAAGGGGGCAGCCGCTCTTTTTGTCTCTTGAGTTGCCAGATCTGGGTTCAGTACTCCCATAATTATTGTAATCCAAAATTGGAAAGATTATGTGTTTGTTGATGGTCTCACTCCCTATAATCTCTCCGTGCAGGAGATACGAATACTATGTCTTCTGATTGATTGAGTCAGTTTTTTGCCTTCTAAATTAGTTTTGCACTGCAAGCCTGAGGCTGTGACCCTGTGCATATGACCCTGAGAAAAGTCCCACAAAAAACAGAGATCTTGATTCTTAGGAGAGAAGCATCAAATTATGCTTGATTCATTTCAGATACGCATAGTTTTGCGTTTTAGAAGAAACCTTGAAGTAGGCAATGGCAGTATTTTCGAACTAAAGTTTGAAAAGAATCATAGAATTATAGAGTTGGAAGAGACCTCGTGGGCCATCCAGTCCAACCCCCTGCCAAGAAGCAGAAAAATTGCATCCAAAGCACTCCTGACAGATGGTCATCCAGCCACTGTTTAAAAGCTTCCAAAGAAGGAGCCTCCACCACACTCCGGGGCAGAGAGTTCCACTGCTGAACGGCTCTCACCAGGCCTGTAGCCAGGTTTTTGATGGGGGGGGGGCTGAGTCTGAGTGAAAGAGGGTCTACCCTAGCAAACCTTTTGTATCGTTACCCCAATACCCCCATGCATATAAGATATATTGAGCATGGTGATATGAATATACATAACAGTTTAAATAATGTACCAGTAAGGCCTTTTTGCAGACCACCATGAGAATTATCGGGGGGGGGGGGGGGCTGAAGCCCCCAAAGCTACATGCCTGGCTCTCACAGTCAGGAAGTTCTTCCTAATGTTCAGATGGAATCTCCTTTCTTGTAGTTTGAAGCCATTGTTCTGCGTCCTAGTCTCCAGGGAAGCAGAAAACAAGCTTGCTCCCTCCTCCGTGTGACTTCCTCTCATGTATTTATACATGGCTATCATGTATATTGATATAAGCATTTTCAAAGTGATTTTTAAAACAATACTAGAATTCCCAATGTTTGCATATACGAATGTGGAAAATCTGTCTTATACTATTTATTTATTTATTTATTTATTATTTATTTACAGTATTTATATTCCGCCCTTCTCACCCCACAGGGGACTCAGGGTGGATTACAATGTACATATATGTGGCAAACATGCAATACCAAAGACACACAACAGATATAGACAGACAGTCAGAGGCTATTTAACTTTTTCTAGCCACCAGGAGAGCTGTCGCTTGCATCATCCATCTGAGACACTGATTAAGGAGTTCTGTATTCCTTGCATGCTTTGGTGGAGTGCTTTGTTGGAGTCTTTTTTATGGCCTCATAAATTAGTTAAATTAGCCTCCCCACACATAGGTGGTACCTAATTTTCCTACTTGACAGATGCAACTGTCTTTCGGGTTGTAAAGGTTGACAACAAGCTACACAATTGGTTGGAAGCTCACTCTGACCCGGGCTGGCTTTGAACTCATGATCTTTTGGTCAGAAGTGATCTTAATGCAGCTGACACTCAGCCAGCTGTGCCACAGTCCCGGTGAGTATTAGGCAGATTTATGGTGTGATTCTAAACAAATAGCTACTGGGTTGTTGTAGGTTTTTTCGGGCTATATGGCCAAGTTCTAAAGGCATTTTCTCCTGACATTTCGCCTGCATCTATGGCAAGCATCCTCAGAGGTAGTGAGGTCTGTTGGAACTAGGAAAAGGGGTTTATATATCTGTGGAATGACCAGGGTGGGACAAAGGACTCTTGTCTTCTGGAGCTAGGTGTGAATGTTTCAACTGATCACCTTGATTAGCATTTGATTGCCTGGCAGTGCCTGGAGCAATCTTTTGTTGAGAGGTAATTAGATGTCCTTGTTTGTTTCCTCTCTGTTGTTGTGCTGTTCTAATTTTAGAGTTTTTTAATACTGGTAGCCAGATTTTGTTCATTTTCATGCTTTCCTCCTTTCTGTTGAAATTGTCCACATGCGTGTGTATTTCAATGGCTTCTCTGTGTAGTCTGACATGGTGGTTGTTGGAGTGGTCCAGCATTTCTGTGTTCTCAAATAATATGCTGTGTCCAGGTTGGTTCATCAGGTGTTCTGCTATGGCTGACTTTTCTTGTTGAAGTAGTCATTGATACATTGAGTAGTCATCATAGCTACTCATTGATTCCTGGTGTGTACAGGATTGCATCCTGAAAGATCTTTACATTGGCACACAACAGGATAGCAGTCTTAAAGTGCAGTTTGACACCTCTTCGCCTGCCATGGTTCAATGCTTAGGAATCATGGGAGATGTTGTTTGGTGAGGCATCCACACTCTTTGGCAGAGAAAGCTATGACACTCGTGGTTCCATAACATTGAGCCATGGCAGTTCAATTAGTGTCAGACTATATTAATTCAACAATGTACATATATCCCTGGAGAAAAATGAAAATCAATTTCCACTTTAGTTCATTAGCCATCCTGAAAGTGAGCAACTAGGGTCAAAGATTGACATACCTCACAACCTCTGAGGATGCGTGCCATAGATGCAGGTGAAAAGTCAGGAGAGAATGCTTCTAGAACGTGGCCATATAGCCCGAAAACCCTACAACAACCCAGTGATTCCAGCCATGAAAGCCTTCGACAATAAGATTGACATATGTATTGTTGAAGGCTTTCATGGCCAGAATCACTGGTTGTTGTAGGTTTTTTCGGGCTATATGGCCATGGTCTAGAGGCATTCTCTCCTGACGTTTCACCTGCATCTATGGCAAGCATCCTCAGAGGTAGTGAGGTCTGTTGGAACTAGGAAAAAGGGTTTATATATCTGTGGAATGACCAGGGTGGGACAAAGGACTCTTGTCTGTCTGCTGGAGCTAGGTGTGAATGTTTCAGCTGACCACCTTGATTAGCATATAATGGCCTGGCAGTGCCTAGAGCAAACTTTTGTTGAGAGGTGATTAGATGTCCTTGTTTCCTCTCTGTTGTTGTGCTGTTGAAATTTTACTAGTTCCAACAGACCTCACTACCTCTGAGGATGCTTGCCATAGATGCAGGCAAAATGTCAGGAGAGAATGCCTCTAGACCATGGCCATATGGCCCAAAAAAACCTACAACAACCCAAGATTGACATAGTTTGCTACCTTTCTAAGAATGCATGAAATAAACAAAAGGTTTCTCCTCTGTAATCCTCACAGTGGTTTCACCTCTTTCCTTTTCAGATGCTGGGCTTCCTGTTCCTCTTGGGGATTTTCCTGGCAGCCCCACCAGAACTTCATGCTGCCTCTTCCTCCTTGCGCTTCATTGCTGTGGGAGACTGGGGTGGAGTCCCCAATGCGCCTTTCTACACTGCCCGTGAGGTGGCTGTAGCCAAGGAAATGGGGCGGACAGTAGCATCGCTAGGAGCTGATTTCATCCTCTCCCTGGGAGACAACTTCTACTACAGTGGTGTTAATGATGTCTATGACAAACGTTTTCAGGTACAGAGAAACTCTCATATCTGTGGTGGATACTATAATAACTACTTAATGGCCGTCTGGGCAGGGGGTCAAACAATCCCACCGCTGCCACCAATTATAATAACTACTTAATGGCCGTCTGGGCAGGGGGTCAAACAAACCCACCGCTGCCCCACCAATTATAATAACTAGGCAGATGGCAATACGATCAATCTCACCATCTGACACCAATTAATAAAGGCAGGCTTTATGGCCAAACAATATGACTGGACAGGGGGCAAACAGATCCCACCAACTGTCCCTCCTTTAATAAGGAATTCACACCACTTTGGCACCTAGATAACACTTGAGGGGATGTCTCTCTATTTTAAACCTTCGCTGCCACCATAAACCAAATGAACAGGAACCCTCTAGCTGGTTAAACTAAGAAAAGGCTTGTTAGACCACCATGTACTGTGTCTTTTTAAAGGGCTTCTTTGAAGGGAAACAGGTTGAGGTTGAATTAAAAAGAAAAGGGACTAAATCCACAAATGGCACTTGACTCAGGCTTAAGTTTCAAACATAACAAGGAAAGTTTATTGAAGTAAAAGTTACAGAATGAAGAGAATGCAGTTTCATAAGCTTGGCTGTTACAGTTAAAATGTTCTTGTTCTTAAAAAGCGTAACGGTTGCATGAGAGAATGATTCTTTCTTGGTTACAGTTCCTATTACAAAACCCAGCTATTTTTCCCCTAAAATAGCTGTAACCAGTTTGCCACAACCTACTTCGCTGTGCAAACTTCAGGCAAACTGCCTATTCTAATCAGGAACTCCTACAAGCTTCTCTAATCCTGCTCTAACTCTAACCTCAACCAGAACTGCACTGAACTGACTAAAATAAGCTTCTTACTTTCCCTCCAACAGTCCAACTCCGCCCCCCTTTAACAAACCAATCCTGGCTGTTTCAGGGCTGGCTCAGGCCTAGGCCACTCCCCCTCTCTGTACTGGAGCTTTCCCTAAACCAAAATGGCTCCTGCTGCTCTCTGCCAGGCCTTCTAAGGTCTTAACTATCTAGCCTGCCTCTCCTAGGCCCTGCCACCCCGATCTGGCAAGGTAAGGGATCTTCACAGATACATTCCCAGAAAAATTGGTATCCAATACAGGGATCCTAAGACCAAATGCCAGTGTATATCAAGGTCCCACTGAATGCAAATTTCTTTGAAAAAAGGTGACATAGCAATGTGATATAAAACTAGCCCTGCATGGCCCATATAATCCAGTTCAAAGCAGGTAATCTGGATTTTCTATGGAAGTGTGGAAGGGGTCTAAGACAGGATTCAAATTACTATATTGACATCTTATCTTATGGTTAGCTTATTTTTAGTTATCAAATCCTGTTGTGGTCATCTTCTTTTGATTTTCCACAAGATCTATAAAGGTTTCCATTCTTTTTGTAGATTCTGCAAATTAGTTTGCTGTAGGGCTAAAGTTGTATGCAGAACACATCATGCGATGTGCGGGGCTTGACAAATGCAAGGCTGGGGTTAAAATTGCTGGAAGAAACATTGACAATCTTAGATATGCAGATGATATCACTTTGATGGCTGAAAGTGAGGAGAAACTGAGGAGCCTTCTAATCAAGGTGAAGGAAGAAAATGCAAAAGCTGGGTTGCAGCTAAACATAAAAAAAACCAAGATTATGGCAACAAGAATGATTGATAACTGGGAAATAGAGGGAGAAAACATGGAGGTCATATTTCTAGGTGCAAAGATTACTGCAGACGCAGACTGCAGCCAGGAAATCAGAAGACGCTTACTTCTTGGGAGGAGAGCAATGACCAATCTCGATAAACTAGTGAAGAGTAGAGACATCACACTGGCAACGAAGATCTGCATAGTTAAAGCAATGGTATTCCCTGTAGTCACCTACGGACAGGGGCGGCTCAACCCATTACGCAAAGTAAGCATTTACAGTATAGTTGATTTTGCCCAGGGGCGCTCCTGAGGCGCTCTTGGGGGAAAATAGACCTTGACATATGTGAGTTGTAGTTACTGGGATGTATAGTTCACCTAAAATCAAAGAGCATTCTGAACTCCACCAATGATGGAATTGAACCAAATATGGCACACAGAACTCCTATGACGAATAGAAAATATATATTAATTATTGGTTTGGCGGGGGGGCAAAATACTGATTGCTTACCATTGAAAATTACTTAGGGCCGCCTCTGTCTACAGATGTGAGAGCTGGACCATAGGGAAGGCTGAGCGAAGGAAGATAGATGCTTTTGAACTGTGGTGTTGGAGGAAAGTTCTGAGAATGTCTTGGTCAGCGAGAAGATCCAACCAGTCCATACTTCAGGAAATAAAGCCCAACTGGTCATTGGAGGGAAGGATAGTAGAGGCAATGATGAAGTACTTTGACCACATCATGAGAAGACAGTAAACCTTAGAGAAGACAATGATGCTGGGGGAAATGGAAGGAAAAAGGAAGAGGGGCCGATCAAGGGCAAGATGGATGGATGGTATCCTTGAAGTGACTGGCTTGACCTTGAAGGAGCTGGGGGTGGTGATGGCTGACAGGGAGCTCTGGCATGGGCTGGTCCATGAGGTCATGAAGAGTTGGAAGTGACTGAATGAATAAATAACAACAGAGCTAAAGTTAACCTTTTATTCTTTGGCATTGGTATACATAAATAGTTAATCTTACTTTTCCTGGCAGGAGACCTTTGAGACTGTTTTCCAGGCCCCCTCACTGCGTAAGGTGCCCTGGTATGTTTTGGCTGGAAATCATGACCATTCAGGGAATGTCTCTGCCCAGATTGCCTACACCAAGATCTCCAAGCGTTGGTAAGACATACCTTTACTAGCTTGTTATTATTTATTGAAGATAAACTGCAGCATGATGTGGAGATGTTTGAGGAAAGAGAAGAGTTTGTGGGAGAAAGAGGACCTCTTGCAGTGTCCTTATATTTATACATGGCTTCCCAAGTATGTGAGTGAGACACAATTTTAACTGTGCACTATGCAGTCTTAAACACTATACTGTGTTTAATCTTATTAAATATATTCAAACATTTTCAATTCTTTATTTTAGTAAGATTCCAGAGCTAAAGAAGAAAACAAACAAACAAAAATACACAAAACGAACTTGCCCACACCCAGATAATATTATTGTCTATTACCGGCATGGGCAAACTTTGGCTCTCCAGGCGTTTTGGACTTCAACTCTCAGACATCCCAGCTAGTTTACTGGCTGTTAGGAATTGTGGGAGTTGAGATCCAAAGCATGTAGAAGGTCAAAGTTTTCCCATGTCTGGTCTATTATTAGACATTATGTGGGGACTCCCCGTACTTTTCATATTTCCCATTTTTAACATTTGTTTTATTGGGAATGAGATGAAAAGAACCTCAAGATTCATTGACTTAAAATTTGCCCCACAGAGTTAACATGGATTTATTATTTATTGCTTTTTCAGTCTTTTTATTTCTCTTCCATGGGGGATCAAAATTTAATTTGAAGCAAAATACAGTTGAACAATTCATTGAACAAAAGTTAATAATTTATCAAATAAACAATCACACGAAAAACATGACACCCTGCCCTCTGTATCCATGGGTCCGTAGCTTGAAAATATTCTAAATAATCAAATTTAAAAATCCAAAGATATTTTGACATTTTATAGAAGTGATGCCATTTTACCATTGGGATTTGAGCATTCATGGGATTTTTTTTAAAAAAGTTTTTATTAAATTTTCAAGTATACAAAGATAAAATCACGAGTCTTATCTACAAGTGTTTAATAGAAGATTAAAAAGGAAAAGAAAAAAAAACATAAAAGAGGTGGGAGTGGTAGAGAACGATAGGGAGGGGAAGAAACGAAACAAAAAGAAAGAAAGGAAATAGAGGAAAGAAAGAGAAGAAGAAAAAGAAAAAGAAAAAAGGGAGAGACATCAGTAACAAAACCTCCCCCCTTCCCTAATGTGGCTTTCAAGATTTCTCTTACAACAGTTCTTCAGAGTTGTTTCTTTTCTAGTTTGCAGGCATCAGTGTTTTCCCTTTTCTTTCTTTCTCCTTTCCTTCCTTTTCCTTCCCCTCCCATCTCTACTCTCTCCTTCTCCATTACATCCTTTCTTCCTTACTTCTTCTCTTTCTATCTTCCCTTCTTCTCCTTATCACTCAACTTGTCTTTATTTCTTTTCTTTTCTCAGTGTTCCTCTTGTTTTCTTTTTATTATTATTATTAATTTTTTCTCTTTTCTTCTTCTTCCTCCCTTTTTCCTTTTTCCTTTTCTTCTCCTCTTTACTTTCTTCTTTCTTTTCCTTTGCTCTCATTTTATTATTATTATTATTATTATTATTTATTTATCATATTATTATTCCAATTCCTCTTACTATTAGCTGAGATCATATTAATATCTTTATCTTATTTTCCTTCAGCCATTTTTAATAGGGTTCCAGTCTTTTGCTTTGATCAGTCTCCTTTAAATTTAAAGCGCAATACAGTTAAACAATTCGTTGTACAAAAGTTAATAAATTATCAAATAAACAATCACACTAAAAACATGTCAGCCTGCCCTCTGTATCCATTGGTCCGTAAGCTTGAAAATATTCTAAATAATCAAATTTAAAAATCCAAAAATATTTTGACATTTTACATAAGTGATGCCATTTTACCATTGGGATTTGAGCATTCGTGGGATTTTGATATTCACAAGGGGCAGTTAAACCAAAACCCTAATAAATTGCAAAAATCTACTATAATCCCAGAAAAGGTTTTTAAAAGACCATTAAAATAAACTAATAATTATAAAAGCATGAAGTCACAGATCCCCCTGAAGTCACAGGTCCACAGTTTGGGGGTCCTCCTGGATTCTTCACTCACGTTTGAGGTTCAGGCGTCGGTGGTGGCCGGGAGGGCCTTTGCACAATTAAGACTCGTGCGCCAACTGTGACCGTACTTCGAGAAGGCAGATCTGGCCAAAGTGGTCCATGCCTTAGTCACCTCTAGACTGGATTACTGCAATGCACTCTACGTGGGGCTGCCCTTGAAAATGGCCCGGAAATTTCAGATGATCCAACGGGCGGCAGCCAAGTTGTTAACTGGGGCTCCTTACAGAGAGCAGTCATCCCTCCTGTTCAAGGAACTCCACTGGCTGCTATTAATCTACCGGACCCAATTCAAGGTGCAGGTACAAAGCCCTGAACGGTTTGGGACCCGCATACCTGTGTGACCGCTTCTCTGTATATGAACCCACACGATCCCTTCGATCATCCAGAGAGACCCTGCTCTCGATCCCACCAGCTTCGCTGGCGCGATTGGTGGGGACGAGAGAGAGGGCCTTTTCGGTGGCGGCCCCTCGACTCTTGAACTCACTCCCTAAAGACATCAGACAGGCCCCAACCCTGGCAGTCTTTAGGAGGAGCTTGAAGACGTGGCTGTTCCAGTATGCCTTCCCGGAATAATGTTCCCATAGCACTTTGTCCTCCAAAGCACTTTACATTTCTTTAGGTCTGCTCGTATGCCCTTCCACAAACACCAGTATCACCTTTCATCCATGTCCCAGCATTATTTCCAATTTTAACTCTACATTTGGCCTTCCCACTGTTTTTAATTGTGTGTTGTCTCATTGATAATGTTGTATATTTTATGGTCTATGTTTTTTAATTGCTTGTATTGTTGTTATTATTGCTTGTATTGTTGTGTTTGGGCTTGGCCTCATGTAAGCTGCACCGAGTCCCTTGAGGAGATGGTAGCGGGGTACAAATAAAGTATTATTATTATTATTATTATTATTATTATTATTATTATTATTATAAATACAACACACCCTGAATAGAAAAACTTCTGTTACTTGCAATTAACATACAAAGGTCAGAATAAACAGAAAGAACTTTGCCTGACAGGAGAGAAAGAGATGAAAGTGGGTGAACCAGGACCCATGGGAAGGAACTGTGCAATTTGGGAGAAGCTCTTGAAAAGTCTGCCTCCTATGTTCACACCAATCTTTTGCACACTTCCACAATGTCTTCCTTAGAGAAGGAACTGAACACCCCACACATAATGTTGTGAAGTGGAAAAGTCTTCTGATTGTTCCCTTTCCTGTCTTTTCCCCTTCAGGCATTTCCCAAAGTACTACTACAAGCTGAGGTTCAAGGTCCCTGGCAGCAATGCTTCTGTTGCCATCCTCATGATTGACACCGTGACTATCTGTGGCAATTCGGATGACTTCCAGGATGAGCAGCCCTTGCGCGCACAGGATCCCAGCGTTGCCCGTAGCCAGCTCTCCTGGCTTCGCAAACAGATGGCCAACTCCCAGGATGACTACTTGCTCGTGGCTGGGCACTACCCAGTGTGGTCTGTGGGAAAGCATGGCCCTACTGCATGCCTGGTCAAGCAACTGCAGCCGCTGCTACAGAAATACAAGGCCACAGCCTACTTGTGTGGCCATGATCACAACCTCCAGGTGAGTCAAGGGGAAAAAAGAATCCCTAATAATAATAATAATAATAACAACACTTTATTTATACCCCGCTACCATCTCCCGGTGGCGCAGTGGGTTAAAGCACTGAGCTGCTGAGCTTGTTGATCAAAAGGTTGCAGGTTTAATTCCGGGGAGCGGCGTGAGCTTCCGCTGTCAGCCCTAGCTTCTGCCAACCTAGCAGTTCGAAAACATGCAAATGTGAGTAGATCAATAGGTACCGCTCCGGCAGGAAGGTAACAGCGCTCCATGCAGTCATGCTGGCCACATGACCTTGGAGGTGTCTACGGACAACGCTGGCTCTTCGGCTTAGAAATGGAGATGAGCACCACACCCCAGAGTCAGACATGACTGGACTTAATGTCAGGGGACTACCTTTACCTACTAGGCCTGGGTAACAACGGAAAAATTTGTTTCTAAAATCGATTCGTTTTTTGGGGGTTTTTGTGTTTCGTTATTTAAAATAATTACAAAATTTTCCTTTAAAAAAGTTCGATATTTACGAAATTTTGTAAATGTGAAAAAATTACAAAACAATAACGAATCAATTTCTGAAACAATAACGAATCGATTCGTTAATGGCGGGCGCGACCACGCAATACGCTAAAAAACCTCCAAATGGGACAGGGGGAACTTCTGAAGCTTAATTAAACCAAAAACAACTATAAAAACCCTTAGAAAACCAAAAACAACTATAAAACTTGCCCCAGACATGCGGAAATAATAACGAAACAACCTCAAAACGATAACGAAACGAATACAATAACGAAATACAAAACATTTACGAAACGATTTAAAAATTCGTTTTTTTTAAAATTGCTCCAGACTGGTTCGTTATCGTTTTGTAATTGAAAAATTAACGAATTTTTTAACGAATTACAAATTAACGAAACGAAACCGCCCAGCTCTATTACCTACCATCTCCCCAAGGGACTCGGTGCGGCTTACATGAGGCCGAGCCCAGAATACAACAATACAAGCAATAACAATAACAATACAAGCAATTTAAAAACAACAAGACAAAAAAACAATAAAACAAGCGTTATCAATAGGACAACACACTTTAAAATCTATGGGTAGGCCAAATGTCATTAAAATTAAAATATTAAAAAATAATGCTGGACATGGGCGAAAAAGTGATGGGGCGGTTTGTGGGAACATGCGAACAGACCTAAAACAATATAAAGTGCTTTGGAAGACAAAGTGCTATGGGATCATTATTCTGGGAAGGCACACTGGAACAACCACGTCTTCAAGCTCCTCTTAAAGACTGCCAAAGTTGGGGCATGCCTGATGTCCTTAGGGAGTGAGTTCCAGAATCAAGGGGCCACCACTGAAAAGGCCCTCTCTCTCGTCCCCACCAATCGCGCTTGTGATGCAGGTGGGAGCGTGAGCAGGGCCTCTCCAGGTGATACAAGAGATCGTGTGGGTTTGTATACAGAGATGCGGTCACGAAGGTAGATGGGTCCCAAACCGTTCAGGGCTTTGTAGGTAAGAACCTGCACCTTGAATTGGGTCCGGAAAATGAATGGCAGCCAATGGAGCTCCTTAAACAGGGAGCTCTTAAACAGAGTTCTCGGCCTTTTGGCTAAGATCAAGTGTAGTATCAAGTGTAGAGTTTGTACTTTCTTACAAAATGTTATTCTCCCCACAGCACTTGTTGTGCCTCTTGTGTTTTCCACACCATTCTACACATTTCTGATTTAGCTAAGAACTAGATCCTTGGCTCCCCAAAATGTGCCCTTACCAGACTTTTTATTATTTATTTAATTTGTCGTGTCAGGAGTCGCTCCTGTTGTGAGAGAATTGGCCGTCTGCAAGGACGTTGCCCAGGGGACGCCCGGATGATTTTTGATGTTTTTATCATCCTTGAGGGAGGCTTCTCTCATGTCCCCGCATTAGGAGCTGGAGCTGATAGAGGGAGCTCATCCACCTCTCCCCTTACCAGACTGATTTCAGGCAATTCTATGGTAGATTGGAGTGATGCCCCGTAAGTGGTGTGACAGTGATTCTAGTGTAAGCCTATTCCTTCTTTCTTCCCACACAGTACCTTCAGGACAAAACTGGTTTGGGCCACGTGCTGAGTGGAGCAGGCAACTTCATGGATGAATCCAGGCAGCACCTCAATCAAGTTCCTGCTGGTTACCTACGTTTCTTCTATGGCAGTACCGCTTCCCAGGGTGGATTCACCTATGTTGAAATTGATGGGAAAGAGATGAGTATCACTTTTATCGAGGCCAGGGGCAAGTCACTCTACAAGACCACACTACCCAGGCGGAGACGCTTCTAAAGACAAGAGAGCCTTCATCACTGATTAGACATCCTGGCTTGTAGCAAGGGGCACCAGTGATATCTCTGGAATACACATACACTTATCCTATGCCTTCCTCCTAGACTGGTATTTGTGTGGAATATACAAAGCTCTGAGAGAGTACACTAGTCTCACATTCTGACTCAGCAGGGTGAAATGGAAGCAGGATTTGGAGTTGTGATTCATCCCCTTCCTGCTGTCACATATGCACAAAATTTGAAATAATAGAATAACTGAACAGTGCTGAATAGCAGCCGTTCTTTGTTTTTACAATAGTAACGAAAATCTGAAAGGGAGGTCTCCTTAGCTTACTGCAAAGTTTGTTGCTACAAAATAGTAGAGATTTGGCCTTCTAGTGAGTACCCTCAGAATAATAATCAGCTCCTGATGCTGTCATTGACTCCTAGATTTATTAAAGGAGAATAAACTTTTGTCTACATTATGATCATTGCTTCCTGGTGAAGACAGAGGAACTTTGGTAGCTGATTGGAATTGGAGGTGAAAATTAACTATTTTCTGTTTGCACACCCTCCAGTCTCTTGGTATAGTTGGAAAATGGAACAAGAATGCCAAATTTGAAGGCTGGATCTATACTGCCATGTAATGCAATTTCAGAATGCAAGTTAACTGCTATGAACTGCATTATATGTCAGTGTAGACTCATGTAATCCAGTTCAATGCTTTTAATCTGCATTCTGAAACTGCATTATATGACAGTATAGTTGCCTAACTCTGGGGTATGGCCCAATCTCAGTGCTATTAGAAGAACATTGCATGTCTAAATAATGCATTATATGTGTGTGTGCCAAAGGAACTGCAGATCTATCTTCTGAATAGATTACTTATCTGATAAGAGGGCTCTTCAGGATTGTTTTTCCTTTTGGATCTGCTGTGTTGGATTTGATTCTCCTTTCACTCTTAGCTTCTGTTACACACTTTAAAGTTACTCATTTACCAAGATTTTTATTATCTGAAATAGAAGGGATTTGTTTCCTTCAAGATTGATTCTTTGCTACTAGAATCCAGTTGTATTCTGTATATGGGCTACTAGGTTTGTTTAAGAAAATAGCAGAATATTTTAATGTTTTCTTGTGAGTAGTTTTTAAATAAATTGCTTTGAAAGCACTCCTGGATTTGTTTTTTTACTAACCACAATTTCAGTAAGATTTTGGTAAGAACGATTTAATTATTCAGAATTGCATGTTCGAATGGATGCTTTCCTCATATTTGTTCAATAACAACACAAGCCGAAACCCATTTTTATTCAGATGACATGTTTTATTTATATCCCTTTCCCATTTCTAAGCCAGGTTGCTTAGAAATCGTTTTCTCTCTCTCTTGTCTAAGATCCTTAGCTAATACTCCAGAGAACAGGAGCAGGATTCAAAATGATCTTGACAGATTAGAGAGATGGGCCAAAACTAACAAAATGAAGTTCAACAGGTACAAATGCAAGATACTCCACTTAGGCAGAAAAAACAAAATGCAAAAATACAGAACGGGGGACGCCTGGCTCGAGAGCAGTACGTGTGAAAAAGATCTTGGAGTCCTCGTGGACAAGTTAAACATGAGCCAACAATGTGATGTGGCGGCAAAAAAAGCCAATGGGATTTTGGCCTGCATATAGGAGCATAGTGTCTAGATCTAGGGAAGTCATGCTACCCCTCTATTCCGCTTTGGTTAGACCACACCTGGAATATTGTGTCCAATTCTGGGCACCACAATTCAAGAGAGATATTGACAAGCTGGAATGTGTCCAGAGGAGGGCAACTAAAAAGATCAAGGGTCTGGAGATCCAGTCCTATGAGGAGCAGCTTAAAGAGCTGGGCATATTTAGCCTTAAGAAGAGAAGGCTGAGAGTAGACATGATAGCCATGTATAAATATGTGAGAGGAAGTCACAGGGAGGAGGGGGCAAGCTTGTTTTCTGCTTCCCTGGAGACTAGGATGCGGAACAATGGCTTCAAACTACAAGAAAGGAGATTCCATCTGAACATGAGGAAGAACTTCCTGACTGTGAGAGCCATTCAGCAGTGGAACTCTCTGCCCCGGAGTGTGGTGGATGCTCCTTCTTTGGAAGCTTTTAAACAGAGGCTGGATGGCCATCTATCAGGGGTGATTTGAATGCAATTTTTCTGCTTCTTGTCAGGGGTTGGACAGGATGGCCCATGAGGTCTCTTCCAACTCTTTGATTCTATGATTCTATGAACCTATAACTTAGAAATCAGAGTCATGCAACCTTCCTCATGTTGTTGAATTGCAAGACAATATTCCTCACCATTGGCTATGTGGCTAATAGGGGCAACTAAGACAGCTCCATGCTTCTCGTCACTGTCCTAACTGGAAATGTCAAGAGCTGAATGTGAATTTGCGCGCATGTGAAAGGGGCACTTGACTATTGGGACAGACTCCTTGACATTTTCAAGAACTTGTATTAACCCAGGGGAGCATAAGGCTACTTACAAGAGTCCTAAGCAAGAGAGAAAACAGAGGCAGCCAGACAGGTAAACAATAAAAGCTTTTCCAGCCATTTTGAACTAAAGATTAAAGACAAAAGACACTTTCAGACAGCCAATGCACTGCCAATCAGTGATTTCATATAAAGCATTTCTGGAAACCACCTTAGGAAACACTGCAGTAAGTTCCGGTAGCATAGTCCCTGGTTACACTATGTTACAGCCCAAGAAGATCTAACCTTAGTTTAATACAGCTTAACTCTTAGGACCTCATCAGACTGTCAGGATGTGGCCTTCATGCTATGAAAACACTGCCGAAACCATGAAGACTCCCTTCCTGACAATAGGATAGTTTATGGCTTGATAGGGAGCCATCTGGTTGCAGAGACTGCTTTGTAGATGTGGGAATGGAATGTAGGCACAACTTGAGATAAGGAGGGGAGAAGGGAGGAGGTGCTCAGGGGGAATGTATTACTGGCTGTTGGCGGGAAAACTTCAGATCTCTCTTTGCATGACTCCTGTATGGACTGAATAAACCCATATCCAAAGAACCCGCTTTGTGAGTGCGTGTTTCGTTCTGAGATCCCACAGGATCTGACAGACAGGCAGAGGGAAAGTGGAGGGAATTTTTTATTTTATTTACAGCTTGTATATTCCGCCCTTCTCAACCCACAGTGTACCCAGGGCGGATTACAGTGTACACAAAAATGGCAAACATTCAATGCCAATTTTTGACATACAAACATATACAGACATACACAGAGGCTATTTAACTTTTTCTGGCCGCCAGGGGAGCTGTTGCTTTCATCGTCCATCTGCGACGCTGATGAAGCACTTCCGCATTCCCCGCATGCTTCCCCGCTGGAATGCTCTGCTGGAGTCTTCTTTTATGGCCTCATAAATTAGTTAATTTAGCCTCCCCACACTTTAAGGTGATACCTAATTTTCCTACTTGACAGATGCAACTGTCTTTCGGGTTGCAAAGGTCGACAACAGGCTACACAATTGGTTGGAAACCCACTCCAACCTGGGCTGGCTTTGAACTCATGACCTTTTGGTCAGAGCGATCTTAATGCAGCTGACACTCAGCCACCACAATCCTTCATTGTCTACCATCTTTCCTTGTCTTCTGAGATGGTCTCCCAACCCATGTCGTTTCATCATTTCTTCCCCGTTTTCTCCTATTAGGAGTTGGACAGTAAATGGAGTCTTCTCTCCATTTTTCAGGCACTGGCAACACAGATTCCCATTGGCAGCTACCAGAAATGGCTCTGCGTTGTGGGATGGTCTCTGTGGGACTCCATTTTGCCAGTGCCTGAAAACGGAGAGAAGAATCAGACAAGATTGCATTTGATAAGTTCCTTAGTATTGCTAAGGCATCTCACAACCCCTATCAAATTAATGTATTCAATTTTTACACAATTTTAAAACAGAGAATGACCAAGACATAATCCAAAGGGGTATAGACTATATTCTATCAAGAGGGGAGGTCTTAATTCTGTGAAAGTATATACTGTCCAATGTCTCAAAGTTGAAAATTGAGACAGCTGTGGCAAGCAACAGCACCGTGTGGTTGAAGAGGACACATTGCAGTGCAGTGAAATTATTAAAAAGCAAGAATCATAGAATCAGAATCAAAGAGTTGGAAGAGACCTCATGGGACATCCAGTCCAACCCCCTGCCAAGAAGCAAGAATATTGCATTCAAATCACCCCTGACAGATGGCCATCCAGCCTCTGTTTAAAAGTTTCCAAAGAAGGAGCCTCCACCACACTCCAGGTCAGAGAGTTCCACTGCTGAATGGCTCTCACAGTCAGGAAGTTCTTCCTCATGTTCAGATGGAATCTCCTCTCTTGTAGTTTGAAGCCATTGTTCCGCGTCCTAGTCTCCAGGGAAGCCTCCTCCCTGTGGCTTCCTCTCACATATTTATACATGGCTATCATATCCCCTCTCAGCCTTCTCTTCTTCAGGCTAAACATGCCCAGCTCCTTAAGCCGCTCCTCATAGGGCTTCTTCTCCAGACCCTTGATCATTTTAGTCGCCCTCCTCTGGTCACATTCCAGCTTGTCAATATCTCTCTTGAATTGTGGTACATACGCATTGCAAGGAGAGGCTGCAGCAGTTTGCTTTTGCCTCAGCCTACTAGAAAGGGGGTGATTCTGGTCCCTTCTCTCTTCTCTGCTGAGTGGGATGAAACTGTTTCAGCCCAGCTGCCCATTTTATTCCTTTTCACCTAGACACCACCAGATCAAAAATGATAATGAGTTTATTAAGAAAGGCATATATAAAAAGTAATAGCTTCAAAATAGTGCAAGCAATTATCTAGAAGTCATTTTAAATAAGCAAACTAAGCATGCAAGAAAGTAACATCAAAGGCCAGATTGTGAAAATAGTATTGAAGTACATCCATGAGATAGATATCAAGAGCTTAACAAAAGGCAAAGAACAACTCTGAACATTAATCCAAAAAAACACAGAAGGTAAAACAAAAAACTGTGATCCCAAGGTGATTGCATTCAAAACATGACTACAATCCCAAAGGCTTGAAAACTTGAACTTGACTACAATCTCAAAGGCTTGAAAACTTGAGACTGAGGTTTCACAGACCTCAACATAAACTTGTTTTGCACTTTGAACTCAGTTTGCACCAATGGAAGTAAACAAAAGGGCAGAAGTAGAAGAAGAGACAAAGGGATATGATTCTATTGTCAACGTCCTTGTCATGTTGGAGACCCTTGACATTTCTAGAGAGGACACCTCTCTTGGATCTCCAATGGGATTCTGTGTTCAGCTTTGAGTGGTAGTTGACCATGAAGTCATGCTGGAGCACCAGGAAATTCCTTAAGAGCGATTCTCTCAAGTAAAAAAACAAGACGAATTTTTGAGATTTTTTATTTTCATAGGTGTCCTGTGTCCCTTGCTCCCAGTAATGTGGAGAGCTGTCTGTAATCCTACTGTTGAATGGGGATTCTAGGAGATAAAGGTTAGCATTCCAGCTCGAGCAAGTAAAACCTTGGGCAAAGCTCCTTTGAATAAATCTTGCCAAGAATCCTTATGGTAGTTATTATCATCATCAGTAAAATATCAATTGTGTTAGCAGTTGTTGAAAACATCTGCAAATCCTAAACCAACCAATGAACCAAGGCAACTAACTCCTCACCACTATAACCAGATAGGTAGGTAGGTAGGTAGATAGATAGATAGATAGATAGATAGATAGATAGATAGATAGATAGATAGATAGATAGATAGATAGATAGATATGGTAAAGGTTGTCCCCTGACATTAAGTCCAGTCATGTCTGACTCTGGAGTGTGGTGCTCATCTCCTTTTCTAAGCTGAAGAGCTGGCGTTGTCCATAGACACCTCCTAGGTCATGTGGCCGGCGTGACTGCATGGAGCGCCGTTACCTTCCCACCAGAGGATCTACTCACATTTGCATGTTTTCTAACTGCTAGGTTGGCAGAAGCTAGGGCTGACAGCGGAAGCTCACGCCGCTCCCCCAGAATCGAACCTGCAACCTTTCGATCAACAAGCTCAGCAGCTCAGCGCTTTAACACACTGCGCCACCAGGGGCTCCATATATATATATATATATAGTGGTGGCAACCTCTTGCCTAGATTTCAGAGAAGAATCGATCCAACCAAGGCATCTAAGCCATTTACTGAAGGGCAAAGTACAGCTGTTGCTAGATCCACTGCAGTGCAATGGGTCAAATGTTACACTACAATGCTGGAAGACGTGGGTTTGAATTCTTCTTACAGCCATGGAAACACTGGGTGGGCTTGGGAAAGTCACACTTTCTCAGCCTCAGAGGAAAGCAATGCCATACCATCATATGAATAAACTTTACCAAGAAAGCCCTATGATAGATTTGCCTATGGTTCGCCATATGGTTCGAAAAGAAAGGCACATAACAAAGAGCTGTTGCCTTCAAACACTCACACACTGGCTGGTCACAGACTTTCTTAAGAAACAATAGTTTTAAGAAACTATTGTTTCTTAAAACAATAGTTTTTGCAGTTTATTTACTCATGTCTATATTTCTTATTATGGAGAAGAGTAAACAGACTATAGCCCAAAGAGAAGGTGCTAGTGCTGGTAGTGATGTCAGATAGGACAGCAGATAAGAAGTTCCATGCTTGGTGAGCTTCCGCTAAACCAGATCAGTCAGGACAGAGAATAAATCAGTCCAGGTTGAAAGCCAACTACAGAAGTTTGGCCATTTGGCCAAAAGGGATGCAAGTACCAAGTCACCACTTATTGTAAAGGTACAAGCATACCTTTACAATAAAATACAAGATATGTTATACACTTTTGACAGCTATGAAGACTTCCTGCACCTCCTCCTGATTGGCTGTGACACAGGCTGGCTAAGATCCATACAGGGATTGGCTGAGGGTTTCAGTGACATCACAGATAGGAGAAGGGGATCCCCATGGTAGGAGGAAGAACAATTGATTATTAGTAGGTTTAAAGCTCCAGTCCAATGCAGAAACACCCCCATGGAGGGTGAAAAAAAAGAAAAGAAAAGGATGATGACATAGGTATGCAGATGATTTCTTGATCGATTTAAGTGTTCATTTCCAAGAAGACAACAGTGCAAGACCTAAAAAAAAAGGTGGTCATCCTGGGTGACCAGAGGCTTGGCTGCCCCATTCAGAAAGCTAACGTATTCATATTTGTTTTAGCTTTCTCTTCCATGAGAACTTTATTTATTTATTTATTTATTTACAGTATTTATATTCCGCCCTTCTCAACCCACAGGGGACTCGGGGCGGATTACAATGTACATATACATGGCAAACATTCAATGCCATAGACACACAACATATATAGACAGACATACAGAGGCTATTTAACATTCCAGCTTTTTTTAATGAGGGTATTTTGGCCACCAGCGGAGCTGTCGCTTCACCGTCCAGTTGTGACACTGATGAAGTACTTCCTCATTCTTTGCATGCTTGCTGGAGATTTTTATGGCATCGTAGATTAGCCTCCCGGCATAAGCAGTACCTAAATTTCCTACTAGACAGATGAAACTGTCTTTCGGGCTGCAAAGGTCAACAGCAAGCTACACAAATTGGTTGGAAGCTCACTAGTATGAAAGTAGTTATACTAGTAGTTTTACTTCTGTGTCCCATTTTTCTATCATGTCATTTTGGAACTGTTTCTTTTAATTTGTTGTGTTATGTATTTATTTTGATGATATTTTTGCTTTTTGTATTGTATTTTGTTGTAATTTTGGACTTGGCCTGATGTTAGCCACCCTGAGTCCCCTTCGGGGAGATGGTGGTGAGGTATAAATAAAGATTATTATTATTATTATTATTATTATTATTATTATTATTATTATTATTATTATCCTCCAGAAACTTCATTTTTGTGGCTGCCACAAACCATGTTGCATTGGTTGAGACTTGATGAGAGATTCATTGAAAAACTATAGCAAAATGTGCTGCAGGATGTCCTGCAAAAACAGTTATTGCAGTTTAATAAACCTTTTCCATGTTTTGATGATGGAACCAATTCGAAAATGACATTTATAACCCAAGAACAAAAAATTGTGTTATGTAATGTAATTCTCCCCACCTGGAAAATAAGAAAACAGTACAAACAGTTGTATTGTTGTTTTTATTTTTTTAATTAAATAAAAAGTCTGTGTTGCTAATGGATCCTTTTCATACAAGGACACCAGCATAAACTCCACCTAAGTCGCCTGAGGACTGAAAAGGGCGGTATACAAATTTGTTGTTGTTCATTCGTTCAGTCGTTTCCGACTCTTTGTGACTTCATGGACCAGCCCACACCAGAGCTCCCTGTCGGTCGTCACCACCCTCAGCTCCTTCAAGGTCAAGCCAGTCACTCCAAGGATGCCATCCATCCATCTTGCCCTTGGTCGGCCCTTCTTCCTTTTTTCTTCCATTTTCCCCAGCATCATTGTCTTCTCTAAGCTTTACTTTCTTCTCATGATGTGGCCAAAGTACTTCATCTTGGCCTCTACTATACAAATATAGTAAATAAATAAATAAACATTAGGAAGAATTTCCAGATTGATATTGACAAGCTGGAATGTGTCCAGAGGAGGGCGACTAAAATAATCAAGGGCCAGGAGAACAAGCCCTAGGAGGAGTGGCTTAAAGAGCTGGGCATGTTTAGGCTTCAAACTACAAGAAAGGAGATTCCATCTGAACATTAGGAAGAACTTCCTGACTGTGAGAGCCGTTCAGCAGTGGAACTCTCTGGCCCGAAGTGTGGTGGAGGCTCCTTCTTTGGAAGCTTTTAAATAGAGGCTGGATGGCCATCTGTCAGGGGTGCTTTTAATGCGATTTTCCTGTTTCTTGGCAGGGGGTTGGATTGGATGGCCCAAGAGGTCTCTTCCTACTCTATGATTCTATCCACCTGAGTTGCCTGAGGGCTGAAAAGGGCGCTATACAAATATCTATATAAATTAAAATGTAATGTTCGTTTGTGGGATTTACAGAACTCAAAAACCACTGGACGAATTGACACCAAATTTGGACACAAGACACCTAACAACCCAATGTATGTCCTTCACTAAAAAAAAAATTGATTTTGGCATTTGGGAGTTGTAATTGTTGGGATTTATAGTTCATCTACAATCAAAGAGCATTCTGAACCCCACCAACGTTGGAATTGAACCAAACTTGGCACACAGTTCTCCCATGACCAACAGAAAATACTGGAAGGGTTTGGTGGGCAGTGTCCTTTGGTTTTAGAGTTGAAGTTCACCTACATCCAGAGATCACTGTGGACTCAAACAATGATGGCTCTGGACCAAACTCTACACGAATACTCAATATGCCCAAATGTGAACACTGGTGGAGTTTGGGGGAAATAGAATCTTGACATTTGGGAGTTATTGTTGCTGGGATTTATAGTTCACCTACAATCACAGAGCATTCTGAACCCCACCAAACCTTCCACACAGAACCCCCATGTGGGCCACAGCAACGCGTGGCAGGGGATGGCTAGTAGTAAATAAACCAACAAACAAACATTAGGAAGAACTTCCAGATTGTCTGAGCTGTTCAGCTCTCTGCAGCCCCTTCCACACAGCTGAATAAAGTCCCACCTCATTTGCTTTGAACTGGACTAAATGGCAGTGTGGACTCAGATATCCCAGTTTAAAGAACATTGTGGGAGTTTTTGCCTTGAAATTCTGGGTTATATGGCTGTCTGGAAGGGTCCTGCAGCGGAGTGTGGTGGAAGCTCCTTCTCAGGAGGCTTTTAAACAGAGATTGGATGGCCATCTGTTGGGGGTGTTTTGATTGTGCTTTTCCTGCAAGGCAGAGGGTTGGACTCTTCCAACTGTATATTTCATCTACATCAGACAGGTGTTTTCGACTTCAACGTACACAATTCCTAACAGACTACTTTTTTTATCGTGTCATCAGCAACCATACCATTGTATTACATTTCTAACAGAACAAACAAACAGATTTTAAAAAAGCATAAAGTGTGCAAACTTGGTAGTTGATTAAATGTCCTTTGACCAGTATCTGGCCACTTGGAGTGCCTCTGGTGTTGCCGCAAGAAGGTCCTCCATTGTGCATGTAGCAGGGCTCAGGTTGCATTGCAGCAGGTGGTCTGTGGTTTGCTCTTCTTCACTCTCGCATGTCATAGATTCCACTTTGTAGCCCCATTTCTTAAGATTGGCTCTGCATCTCGTGGTGCCAGAGTGCAGTCTGTTCAGCACCTTCCAAGTCGCCCAGTCTTCTGTGTGCCCAGGGGAGTCTCTCATTTGGTATCAGCCATTGGTTGAGGTGCTGGGTTTGAGCCTGCCACTTTTGGACTCTCGCTTGCTGAGGTGTTCCAGCGAGTGTCTCTGTAGATCTTAGAAAACTATTTCTAGATTTAAGTCATTGACGTGCTGGCTGATACCCAAACAGGGGATGAGCTGGAGATGTCTCTGCCTTGGTCCTTTCACTATTGGCTGCTACTTCCCGTCGGATGTCAGGTGGTGCAATACCGGCTAAGCAGTGTAATTTCTCCAGTGGTGTAGGGCGCAGACACCCGTGATAATGCAGCATGTCTCATTAAGAGCCACATCCACTGTTTTAGTGTGGTGAGATGTGTTCCACACTGGGCATGCATACTCAGCAGCAGAGTAGCATAGCGCAAGGGCAGATGTCTTCACTGTGTCTGGTTGTGATCCCCAGGTTGTGCCAGTCAGCTTTCGTATGATATTGTTTCTAGCGCTCACTTTTTGCTTGATGTTCAGGCAGTGCTTCTTGTAGGTCAGAGCACGGTCCAGAGTGACTCCCAGGTGTTTGGGTGTGTTGCAATGCTCCAGTAGGACTACTGGCTGTTAGGAATTGTGGGAGTTGACGCCCAAGACACCTGCCCATGTCTATTCTACAGCAAAGGATCAGAAGGACAAGAGAAGCAAACGGAACTCGCCAATTCCACCTCCAAAAGCGCGGTGTTACACCTCTACACGTTTCCTATATCTGTGTTCCAAGCCAACCCGCGGCGCCAACGCTGCAGTTCTTTTTCCGGTCAGGACGCCGGAAGTGGTCGTCTCCGTTGGAAACACGGCCTAACGAGGTGGTTGGAGCCAAGTTGGAGTAGGGTGAGAAGCGGGGGTGAGTTTCCGAAGGGTGTCAGACATTTTTCGATGGGGAGGTCTGAAAGTTTGTGTGAATTCTGGAACTGAGGCAGTCGCTGGGAGGAGAAGCGACAGGGAGCTTCTTTCCTTTCGCGTGGTCTTCTATCCGGAGCCACGTTGGGTCCTTCTCATTATGGCGGTGTGGTCTCATCGTCCTCCCCTCTTTCTCTTCACCGCCTGCCTTTCTATCTAAAACTGACGGGATGTGTGTGTGTGTGTGTGGGGGGGGGGGGATCCTGGCCGGTCCAGTTTTCCAGAATAGCGTAGAAGTAACTAGTTAACGCCCCTTAAGTTGATATACAAAGTGGGGCAACTGTGAGAACCTGCTCAGCAGTGGCTTGTACCTTCTTTTGGGTGCCGTGACGGCAAGACTTGGTTCTCGCTTTCTGCACACCTTTGGGAAGCTCCCTGTCACCTGTATGGAGGCAGGATTGTTTCCACTCTAAGGATCGGGGGCATTTCTATATCAGGAATAGGTTTCTTTGCAATAAAAAGTACTTCAGAGTGGGTTAGGAAGGAAGGATATGTCCATGAGAAAGCAGCAGCAACAATACTACTAGGGGCCCTTCCACATAGCCTTAAAATCCAGAATATCAAGGCAGAAAATCCCACAATATTTGCTCTGAACAGGGTTATTTGATCCATACTGCCATATATTCTAGTTCAAAGCAGATAATGTGGGATTTTATTCAGGTGTGTGGAAGCGCCCTTACTAACACTATTTTTGTTCTTGGGTTATAGATAGAATGATAGAATCATAGAGTTGGAGGAGACCTCATGAGCCATCCAGTCCAACCCCTTGCCAAGAAGCAGGAAAATTGCATTCAAAGCACCCCAGACCATCCAGCCTGTTTAAAAGCCTCCAAAGAAGGAGCCTCCACCACATTCTGGGGCAGAGAGTTCCACTGCTGAATGAAGAGAAAGCTGAGAGGAAATATGATAGTCATGTATAAATATGTGAGAGGAAGCCACAGGGAGGAAGGACCTCACCTCTGAGGATGCTTGCCATAGATGCAGGCGAAACGTCAGGAGAAATGCCTCTAGAACATGGCCCTATAGCCCGAAAAAACCCACAAGAACCTAGTGATTCCAGCCATGAAAGCCTTTGACAATACAAGGAGCAAGCTTGTTTTCTGCTTCCCTGGAGACTAGGACGCGGAACAATGGCTTCGAACTACAAGAAAGGAGATTCCATCTGAACATGAGGAAGAACTTCCTGAGTGTGAGAGCCGTTCAGCAGTGGAACTCTCTGCCCCGGAGTTTGGTGGAGGCTCCTTCTTTGGAGGCTTTTAAACAGAGGCTGGATGGCCATCTGTCAGGGGTGATTTGAATGCAATATTCCTGCTTCTCGGCAGGGGGTTGGACCGGATGGCCCAGTAGGTCTCTTCCAACTCTTTGATTCTACGATTCTATGAATGGCTCTCACAGTCAGAAAGTTCTTCCTCATGTTCAGATGGAATCTCCTTTCTTGTAGTTTGAAGCCACTGTTCCGCGTCCTAGTCTCTAGGGAAGCAGAAAACAAACTTGCTCCCTCCTCCCTATGACTTCCACTCACATATTTATTCACGGCTATCATGTCTCATCCCAGCCTTCTCTTCTTGAGGCTAAACATACCCAGGCCACTAACTTCTAGGTTCTACTCCCTCAATTCTACTCCTGCCACCTCTAGGTTTCAGTAATGTTTCCCTCTAAAAGATTTCCTCAAAATTTGCTTTTCTTATTCATTTGTAATAATCATTTGGAATGGAAAGAAAACTTCCTATGATGCTCTAAAACAATGGTTCTCAACCTATGGGTGCCCAGGTGTTTTGGCCTTTTTTTTATCGTGTCATCAGCAACCAGACATTTGTACTACATTTTAACAAAAACAAACAAACAAATAGACAAAACACAGAATTTGCAAGCTTGGTAGTTGATTAAATGTCCTTTGACCAGTATCTGGCCACTTGGAGTGCCTCTGGTGTTGCCGCAAGGAGGTCCTCCATTGTGCATGTGGCAGGGCTCAGGTTGCATTGCAGCAGGTGGTCTGTAGTTTGCTCTTCTCCACACTCGAATTTTGTGTATTCCACTTTGTAGCCCCATCAATCCTTTGTTGTTTTGGCCTACAACTGCCAGAAATCCCAGCCAGTTCACCAGCTGTTAGGATTTCTGAGAGTTGAAGGCCAAAACATCTGGGGACCCACAGGTTGAGAACCACTGCTCCAAAAAGATCCTTGTACTTATAATTTGTTTCTTCATGCTCCTTCACATGCTACAGGAAAAGATGGGTCGTAGGAAATCAAAGCGGAAGCCTCCACCCAAGAAAAAGATGACTGGGACACTTGAGACCCAGTTTACTTGTCCGTTCTGTAACCACGAGAAATCCTGTGATGTTAAAATGTAAGTTCTGCATGCATCTGAAAAAAGAGATCAGAAATAATTTGTTTTATGGCAATCTGCTTTATGTGCTTCAGCCATTGGCATTCCAGGCTCTCAAAAGGGAGGATTCATTTAACCAGGAATGCAAGATGCTTTCTTCTAGCTAGTATGATATTGCAGTAGTGATAATGGCTGAAAAAAATAATAGTAGTTCAACATATCGCTCAAACTGATTGCTTGTATGCACGACACTTAGTACAGTGCCAGAAACAGAAATTATGCAGTAGGTGCCCCTATCCCATCCACTGTTTCACTTTCTGTGGCTTCAGTGAATGTTTTTGGATTCATAATATGCTTTTTGTGTTCCAGGGACCGAGCTCGGAATACTGGTGTTATATCCTGTACTGTGTGTCTGGAAGAATTTCAGACCCCTATAACCTGTATCCTTTGACCTATGTCCACAATAATTAATTCTTTGAACAAAAGGAAATACACTTGCAGTGGATCAAAAGGAGGAAAATATTTAGTGTTTTATGATATCTGATTCTCTTTTCCCTAGGTGGAACTAGGTTTTGCTTCCATGAGACTAATTTATAACATAGTATTTGATTCTTTTTGCAGACTCGGGTTTGATGAACCCTGTCCTATGGTAAGAATGTAGAAAATAAATTAACAGAATTAATGAAGCAGTCATGTATTTCTAATATAGTCTGTCCCGTTCCATGGTGGTTAAGTTTTTAGAACACATCCTCCACCACTCTAACCTGTAGAATGGGAATGAACCAAAAGTCCCACTCCAGTATCAACATGGGGAGTGGAAAATGGAAATGGACTGAATGTCTAGCTGTGTTCTCTACTGTATTATATTATTTACATTGGAACATTTGAGTCAACGTTTCGGTTTCATCTCTGTAAAACACAATAAGCGGTAGGGTTTAAGTGCTTATTTTATGGAAACTCCAGGACAGTTGTGGAGACATTAGGGGGATAGCAATGGGAAAAGTATTGGCATCCTAACTTCAGCATAGTAAGAAATTTTTAAGTAGGAAGTACTTTTTCTTGACATGACCTTAAAGATCTTTCGGAACCAGTGGACGTTTACAGTGATTGGATAGATGCTTGTGAGGCAGCCAATCAGTAGCAACAATTGGAGAAGAATCTGCCCGACGTTGACAAACCTACATTTGGGGGGAGGGTGGAAGGGTGTGTGTGTTATATAATGCATTGTTACACAATGCATAGAAGATACAACTGGAGTAGTTGGGAAATGATGGCTTTTGTGCTGTTTGTTTCTATTCGGTAATCTTGTCCCATTACATGTCTTTTGAGAGACTTTGCCTCTGGAATTAAGGGACTAAAGACTGTCAGTAGGACCTAGAAGAATTGGAAAGACTAGTAGATTTGTGATCTGCTGCCTGGCCATTGGAAATCGTGCTGTACCAGACTGCATTGGCTATGGTCCGTCACATGTTGCTTCTCAATTTATAGAAAAGATTTCATTACAGCTTGGTTCTCAGTGATATTCCTTGGAATGTTGTGCTTCTTTGTGGCCATGATTGAACTTCTGTGTTTAGCAAGAAGGGATACACAGACTATAAGAGGAAATCCTCTCCTGATCCCATAATTCTTTGACATTCGATCATTGGGGCAACTTAGCTCTTGATTGGTTGTCTTCATTTAGGAAAGATCACAGTTGTGCTACTCCTGACAATGCCAGAAGAATATCATACAGTCATTTCCCTATCAACTTGTCTTTTCCTTTTTCTGTGCACATTTGTGTGCAGGAAGTTTCTTATTTTTGTACTATGCAACAGGGAAAGTAGAACTCCTCAGACTGTCTTTGGTCTCTGCATGGTGCAATGAAATTGCCTGCAGTTCCTCTTTGATTTTATTTTTCCAGAAGGGACTGTATCAAATGAAGATAATGTTCTTTTATTTGGAATTACTTATTCAGAAGCTAATTGTTTCCGTGACTAGGTCCTCTGTGTCACTGGGTATGGGATTTTGAGACTTCTATCATGGCATAATAAATGTTTGTTCAGAGGAACAAGCCAGTCTGCATTTTGGAAAAATTGTGCCATCTTTTGACAAATAGGTGCTTGTATTATGTACATAAGTGGAGTTGAATAGTCTATTATAAAAAAAATCCTTCATCTTGTATGTGTGATTTTTTTTTACTTCCTTTGCAGTGCACTACAACTTACTCAGTGATCATATACCCTGCCAGTTTGACTTACCTGTTCTTACCAGGCTTGTTTCCTAATATTAGTGTACCCACGAATGCCTAGATCCCAGCATCTTCGGCATATATGAATGGCAAGCTCTGAAGATCTCAACATGGGGATGGGTGGGAATGAAGGTATAATGCTGAATTTGGAAATCCATTCCCAGCTTTCCTCAGTATTATGGAGAGGGCCTTGATCTGCTTCCTGATGGTTATTCTGAGATCCCAGCTGCTGTTCTGTCAACTCTCATCCATAAAATCCAAGGCAGGATGAATTCTGTGCTCCCTTGGAAAACAGATCCCTATATATTTATATGTAGATAATGGCCAAGGAATCAGTAACTGACATCTTGTTTTCAGTGTATTTAAGGAACTTCTGCTGCAATAAATACCCCTTATAAATAAAGGCTATGCTGGAAAAGTGGCCCTTATTGTTGGTGCTATATTTTGTTCCTTGCTGCTCTTTTTTTGGTTGTTTGGCTTTGTCTTTTGCGGATTTTAACTATTCCACTTCATTGAGTGCTGTAATCTAGTTATTTGATGGTTCAAAAGGTAGTCTAACCCAGAGCTTCTTAAACTGTGGGTCCTGACCACAAACGGGATCCCTTTAACTCAATGTTGGAGGTGTGAAAGGCTTCTTCCCACCCCACCCCCTTCCCCAAGTAGGAGCAGGAGATGCTGCTGTTATCAAAGAAGGAAAACAAATGTCCAGGTCAAGCTGCTAAAAGAAGGAAAACAAGCTCAGCTAAGGCTGAGCCAACATGTGGCCATGTTGGCTGGTCACATGAATTGATGAAAGAGAGCTGGCAATCAAGAAGGAGGAGGAAAGGAGAAGAGATGAGAAAAGGCAAAGGAGGTATATAAAGGCAAAGAAGGAGGTGGAGAAGGAACCATGCCAGTTCCTTCAGACGTTTACTGTCCTCCAACTTTTTGTTGTTATTTTACGGATTGAACCTTAATCTTCCTGCAGAGTTTGATTTGTAATAGAATGGGCCTTCTGTACCCATGAACTGGACCCCCCACAGCTTGAATATATCTATCTCACCATGACTGCCATTTTATATAAAGGACATCATTTTATTACACTCTTATATGTCATGGGACTTGAGCAGCCATTGGTTTTGGTGTCTGGAACCAAACTACAGCAGATAAGGAGACCCATTGTATTTTACTTAAGGGATTTGATTGTTATGTACTTTGAAGTTAGGAATGCCATAATTGTTATTGCTGTAGTATTATGTGTCCTCCATATCCACAGATTTAAACATCTGATTTATTTTTTTTAAAGAAGTTTGATTTGTATACTTATTTTATATACCTGGAGACACACAAAAAAGTTTTGGGCAAAAGGGGTCTCAAGTTGAAAAAGTTTAAGAAGCCCTGGTCTAGCCAAACTGGACTGTGGGGTTGGTACCTTTTTTCTCTGCTCCCACATCCATTTGTTCATTAATCTAGTTGAAATATCAATGTACAGAAGCAGAGAACAGCTTGCATGCTGACAAGTTAGCAGAGATTCAGGGAGCCCCTGGTGGCGCAGTGAGTTAAACCCCTGTGCTAGCAGGACTGGTCACAGGTTTGAATCCGGGGAGAAGCGGATGAGCTCCCTCTATCAGCTCCAGCTCCTCATGCGGGGACATGAGGAAGGGGGGGGGGGGGGGGGGTGGGGTGGGGGGGTGGGGGGGGGGGGGGGGGGACATGAGAGAAGCCTCCCACAAGGATGATAAAAACATCAAATCATCTGGGCGTCCCCTGGGCAACGTCCTTGCAGACGGCCAATTCTCTCACACCAGAAGCGACTTACAGTTTCTTGGGTAGCTCCTGACACGACCAAAAAAAAAACCAAACGAACAGAGATTTTATTGCTCCTGCTGCCTCAGCTGCTGCTGAGAGCTGAAAGCATCTTACGATCACTGGGAAGATTCTTTTCCAGAAGATAAACATTCACTAATTAAAATTCAGTCATTTCTGCATTCTCATGTATATCTCCGGGATAGGTTGATTAATTCCTGATTACTCTGCTTGAGTGAATGATTGTGCCCGGATGCCCCAGCAATAACAATGTGGATTCTTCAAGGAAACCTTGGGTAAGTTACCCTGTGACATGAGTAGACATGGTGTGCTACGATGTTTGGGAGAAGAACAAAGTATGTTCGAATTATGCTCTAGCTATCTGTAGTACAAGCTTGTTCCGATGGTCATTCCAGATATAACTTGCTGGTCTATTGTTGTGATAGGATTTTTAGGGTATCAATTTCAATGGAGGACTGTGATAAGGCACTTAGATTTGTGTTGTTCTTGCGTGGCCTAAATTAGGAATTTGTATCATACAACCATCAAGATGTTTGGAATGCAGTTCCCAGCAGCAGGAACCAGAACTGATTGGAGTTACAGTTCAACAACAACCAGAGGGCTGTGTTGATTCCTACCTCTGTTGTAGGTTATGCATTGAGAAATGTACATTTGTAGATGTGTTTTCATTCAGTTTTGGGTTAAGGCCGAAACTTGTGAGGCTCGAAGACAGGGCTAAGTCAGTCTCAAGGAGAGGGGCTTCTTTTCTCAAGCCTCAATTGTGCTCTTGTCTTGGTTTGGACAGCTACTACTAGCGGTGGTAGTTTGGAGAAGAACTCCCAAGAACCCACAGGCAGCACAAAAAAGACAACAGAGCAGGTGCATTCTGAGGAACTTGCCACTAGGACATTTCTGTCTTCCTTTCCAGACAACATCAAAAGGGCCAAGTTGAGGAGCTAGCCCTCTAGTACAGGATGAAGAACAGGAATGGAAGATCATAGAATCAAAGAGTTGGAAGAAACCTCATGGGCCATCCAGTCCAACCCCCTGCCAAGAAGCAGGAATTGCATTCAAATCACCCCTGACAGATGGCCATCCATCCTCTGTTTAAAAGCTTCCAAAGAAGGAGCCTCCACCACACTCCGGGGCAGAGAGTTCCACTGCTGAACGGCTCTCACAGTCAGGAAGTTCTTCCTCATGTTCAGATGGAATCTCCTTTCTTGTAGTTTGAAGCCATTGTTCCGCGTCCTAGTCTCCAGGGAAGCAGAAAACAAGCTTGCTCCCTCCTCCCTGTGGCTTCCTCTCACATATTAGATTGTATGCTGTTGTGGTCTATAGGCGCTTGTCCATGGGGAGGCACTAGTGGGGTTCCCACCTCACCTTTTTGGAGAAAAGCTACCACTTAACGCCCTCTTGTCAGCCAAAGTGTTAACCTCAAGGGTCAATTAGTCAACAGGATGTTGAGGTTCTGTTCCACACAGTTATCCTTATATTATACAATTGATCTTATAAATTGCATCAAGTAGCTAAATACTACATTAGTTTGCAGGTTCTCACGTTGAGAAACAAGCTTTATCCTAATCCACGCAGCCCAGCTTCATCAGAGAACATGATTTCTGTTGCCTCTAATTCTTTTATGCATGAATTGCCATTCTGTTACCATTGTACACAAGGCAGCTCTCTTGTTGTGGGCGGTCTGTGACAAAATGTTTTTCAGCAAATCAGAATAGGAACAATAGAGCCTTACCCACCGACCAAATTAGATACTCCTATCTACTTGTTTGTTCTGTAGTTAGTAGTAATACTACTCTTTTGCCCTACTTTGTAAAGCAATAGTTGCTTCTTCAAGTCATCTGCATTAGTTTTCTGTTAACCTCAGCAAAGACCAAGCTGGTTAACAACCCAGGATCACAGAACACGAGTGCCAATCAGTGGAGCTTGTTTGCTGAGCGATTAGACTGAGTAAATGGAATGAGAATCTGCAGTTGCTTCATCACCAAGGTGATTTATTGGCACTTTGGGCAGAGCAGTTTAGGACAGCTATGTGGCCCTGCGCAGCCAACACTAGTTGCTGTGCAGCCTTTGTCCTTTGGTACTCTTGTTCCTTGAATGGAAGCTACAGGATAAATAGCATGGCCAGAAGTGTCATCCACATTATGCTAACAGTTTTTAACATTTTATGTTCCTCTTCTGCAGGGGTCATGGCCAAGTATCCAAGCCATTTGGCAACCAATGACTAGCTATTGATCTGCATAGAATTATATAGTTCCACTAGCCTCATGGCTGATGTAATAAAAACTGCCAAAAACTAAAACCAAATCTAGAGAACAAAGTGCTCTTTACTTTTGTTCACCCATTGAAGGATAATGGCTCATCTGCTACGGGTTCATAGGCTTTTGTGTGTACAAAACAGTGGAGAGAAATTTGTTCTGTCGTGGCACTGGTTTCATTATTAGCAGTATGGCTTTTTTCAATCAAATACAATTGCTGATCTCAAACTTGCTGAGTGTCTGACACAGTGATGGGCAACCTTTTGAGTTTGGTGTGTCAGTACCCGCCGAAAAACCGAGCATAACTCGGGTGGGGTGTCGCTTAACACATAACTCGGGTGGGGTGAAAAAAACCATAATTTCATGCTATTTATAGTTTAATAACAAAAATATATTACTGAAATATATAACTGTATTTAATAAACCAAATACTAATTATTTAATTTATCTGCTTTTTCTATAATGCCATATATCTTGGCATTATAGAAAAATGCTGGTGTAGGAGCCGAGGATGAAATGTCCTTCTTGGGATGCGGCCCCATCTTCTCTGTATGTGGCCGCATGCGGCTGTGTGTCATTGAAAATGGCTACGCATGTCAGTGCTGACACACGTGTCATAGGTTCGCCAACATGGGTCTGACATCTTCCTTATGTGAAAAGTCTGCCGTTTTGTAATGTTCTTTAATGTATTGTTCGGCCAAAAGAATGGAGCTTATATATGTAGTAAGATGGGCTCAACTTGTTTTAGCAGCAGCACTTTTAGAATCTGCTATGAACTGAGTATGTTCATCATCTGTGCTAAAACAAAATGGTTTTTCCACACATGGTTACCAGGCATAAGAAAAAACACACTGCATTCTGACTCATAATTGGCCCATGAAGTTCTGTGTTGCTTTTAAGCTGACACAACAGCTTTATCCCAACAGGGGGTTGTCAAATTAAATATGTCTTGACTTGTTTTGTACTTATTTTCTGAAACCTGCTCAGCAACAGATTGTTTTAAATCTGTTTGGTCCCCTAAAAAAAATCATAAATTGTATCAAATCTACTCATACACCACTTTTGCCCTTCTAGAGTCTTAATTGAACAGAAACTTCCTGTAGTTTTAATGTTTTAACTACAGATACAAGGACTGAACATTTGCTCATTTTGAAACATTAGATCATCTGCTGTTTTCAAGTTCTGAGTGTATTCAGTAGGCCGATTCTCTCGGTGGTGCAGTGGAAGAATTCATAGATAGACTCGTGCGCCAACTGCGACTGTACCTCGGGAAGGCAGATCTGGCCAAAGTGGCCCACGCCTTAGTCACCTCTAGTCTGGATTACTGCAATGCACTCTACGTGGGGCTGCCCTTGAAAACGGCCCGGAAATTTCAGATTATCCAACGGGCCGCAGCCAGGTTGTTAACTGGGGCTCCTTACAGGGAGTGGTCAACCCTTCTGTTCAAGGAGCTCCACTGGCTGCCATTCATCTACCGGACCCAATTCAAGGTGCAGGTTCTTACCTACAAAGCCCTGAACGGTTTGGGACCCGCCTACCTGCGTGACCGCATCTCCATATATGAACCCACACAATCCCTTCGATCATCCGGAGAGGCCCCAGGCGCGATTGGTGGGGACGAGAGAGAGGGCCTTTTCGGTGGTGGCCCCTCGACTCTGGAACGCACTCCCTAAAGACATCAGACAGGCCCCAACTCTGGCAGTCTTCAGGAGGAGCTTGAAGACGTGGCTGTTCCAGTGTGCCTTCCCGGAATAATGATCTCATAGCACTTTGTCCTCCAAAGCACTTTACATTTCTTTAGGTCTGCTAGTACACCCTTCACAAACACCCTATCTCCTTTCGTCCAGGTCCCAACATTATTTCCAATTTTAACTTTACATTTGGCCTTCCCACTGTTTTTAATTGTGTGTTGTCTTAGTGATAATGTTGTATATTTTACTGCTTATGTTTTTTTATTTTTAACTGCTTGTATTGTAGTTTATTGTATGTATTGTTGTATTTGGGCTCGGCCTCATGTAAGCCGCACCGCGTCCCTTGGGGAGATGGTAGCGGGGTACAAATAAAGTGCTATTATTATTATTATTATTATTATTATTATTATTATTATTATTATTATTGTGGAATGTTCCCATCTCTGCCCAGAAAAAGGCAAGGAAGAAATGATTACATGGTGGTTGGTTTCTTATTACACAGATAATAACATAATTATCTTATTGTTGCTTTTAATACAGTCACATAGTTAATTGCAAGGTGTCTTCTCAGCCCTAGCTTAGGACAACCTTTCTAATATCTGATGCAGCTACACTATACTTGGCAGGACCATCTAGTCTCTGTTTAAATACACCCAAACAAAGAAAAAAGGTCACCTCAGCCCCACTCTCACTATTGGCAAATATTTAGACAAAAATTGCTTTCCTAACATGTTCACCCACTGGTTCTAGTCCTTGCTTGTGAATATAGTTCTGGTCTACTTGAACACCACTGTCAGGTCTCCAGACTGAGCATATCCTTTTCCTTTTCCCATTGAATTTGGTGCTGATCTATTGTGTTAGCAATCCTTCATGGCTTTGTGCCATCTGCAGAATCGATCATCAGCTCATCAATTAATTTCTCCGAAGGTTGGGCTGGGCATAGGAGAACTCTATGCTTCTTGAGTAGACATATAGTTCTGGCCAGAAGTGTGAGAACCACAAAGTCCTCCAGATGTTTCTAAACAGCAAATCCCATTACAGTTTGTTCTACTAGCTAGGACTTCTGGAAGCTGCAGCCAACAGTGCGCAGAGGATGATGAGCCTTTAATTACTGAATAGAGTTGCTTAACTAGTTGTAGATTCACCACCCAGCTATACTATTGTCTGGTTCACATTTTACCATTGTTTCAAGAATATTGTGGGGATAATGTATTGTTGAAGGCTTTCATGGCCAGAATCACTGGGTTGTTGTAGGTTTTTCTGAGCTATATGGCCATGTTCTGGAGGCATTTTCTCCTGACGTTTCACCTGCATCTATGGCAAGCATCCTCAGAGGTTTTTTGGGTTTTTTTGTTGTGTCAGGAGTGACTTGAGAAACTGCAAGTCACTTCTGGTGTGAGAGAATTGGCCGTCTGCAAGGACGTTGCCCAGGGGACGCCTGATGATTTGATGTTTTTATCATCCTTGTGGGAGGCTTCTCTCATGTCCCCGCATGAGGAGCTGGAGCTGATAGAGGGAGCTCATCCGCCTCTCCCCGGATTTGAACCTGCAACCTGTCGGTCTTCAGTCCTACCGGCACAGGGGTTTAACCCACTGCGCCACCTGCATCGATGGCAAGCATCCTCAGAGGTAGTGAGGTCTGTTGGAAGTAGGAAAATGGGTTTATATATCTGTGGAATGACCAGGGTGGGACAAAGGACTTTTGTCTGCTGGAGCTAGTTGTGAATGTTTCAACTGACCACCTTGATTAGCATTTAATTGCTTGGAAGTGCCTGGGGGGAATCTTTTGTTGAGAGTGATTTGATGTGTCTGATTGTTTACTCTCTGTTGTTTTGCTGTTGTAATCAAGGTGGTCAGTTGAAACATTCACACCTAGCTCCAGCAGACAAAAGTCCTTTGTCCCACCCTGGTCATTCCACAGATATATAAACCCATTTTCCTACTTCCAACAGACCTCACTACCTCTGAGGATGCTTGCCATAGATGCAGGCGAAATGTCAGGAGAAAATGCCTCCAGAACATGGCCATATAACCCGGAAAAACCTACAACAACCCATTGTGCGGATATTTTCTAATGCCTTCCTGAAATCCATAGCTTTCCTTTGATCTACAAGCAATTAAATAAAAAGAGTTGACATGGTTGATCTTACCTGACATTTTTTCTGAAAGGTCCTACTAAACAATCTCGGTACAAGGCTAGGGAATTTTTTTATTTGGAGAATTGGTGTTGGGCTAAATGGAGGAATGGTCTGATCCAGTGTCTATTCTTTCTCTTTGCATTGCCAAAAACACACATTGAGGAAGTTCTTCAATAATGTTAAAAATATATTTTTTCTTTTTTATTGTGCCACAGTGAAATTAAGTATTCATTAGCAGAGGATTACAAACAAATACATCTGTTTATAAATTTGATTTTGAAGGGGATGCTATGTTTAGCTGTTTAGCATGCAAAATACTTTTAACTCAGGAGAGAAGGGAGGAGGAAGTTGAAGGGATTTAAAGACAGCTGTTTTCTTTGGCAAAACAGTTGACTTCTTAGTAGTCTAGTTTTTAGCATTTTCCCAGTCGCTGGCACCACATACCAAGTGAGAGCCCATGGGCAGATGGCTTTCTTCTAACTCTAGATTTGTTACCAGACAAAACAAAAATATATTAGCTATTCCTGTTCTGATTTCATGCACTGGTGACAACATATGCATGTAGATAAATACAATAATCCTAACTAGGGCTGTAATCCTGATTGATTACATACTTCTATCTATAAATAAATGAAATATATATGTATGGCTGTATCAGATGTAATTATAAATGAATTGCAGGTACCTCAGATAAGAGACATTTGCCCTTGCCCTGGAGGAAAGGTCTCTTCTGAGACTATACCTGTGTGACACATGCAGGTGTCTTATAAAAAACACTTTTTAGAATAAATGTGATGCTGTATGCAAAAATATGCATTTTTGATCAATCAAATGTTTCTTTAATCAAGCAATAGCCTTATCTTAAATCCAACTTAAAATGTGCCAGTAGGAGGAACCTGTGATTTCAGTGGGACTTACTTCACTGTATGTGCACTCCGGATTACGATACTAGACTTGAATTGAACAGCATTGGCTGCACGCCAAGTGGTTTCTATCTTCACGCAAGGCACATAAATGCCGAGAAGCTGCTTTGTTTTTAAATGTGAATTAATTCCATGGCAACCAGTGCATCAACTAGTCTTATCTAGGGTTGTTTTCAAGTTTTAGGCCTTAGAAATTGTAAAAGCTTTCTCAGCTTGTATGTAAATGGCTGGTTCTGCATAAAACTGGCCATCTGTCAGGGGTGATTTGAATGCAATATTCCTGCTTCTTGGCAGAGGGTTGGACTGGATGGCCCATGAGGTCTCTTCCAACTCTTTGATTCTATGATTCTATGAAAACTATTTTTAAAATTATGGAATAATGCATGGATGATGGTAGAATTATAAATGTGGTTGTTGGCAAAGAATTTACCGGCTGAGAGTTGTTGGCAACTGAAAGGCAATCACAAGGGAGAGGGCCCAGTAGCTATGCATCGCCAAATAGTTGCTAATCCAAAGCACTACTCTTCTCTGTTGAAGCTCCTTCTGTGTTGAGATAGATTGATAGATAAGTGGTCTGGACACTTTGTTCAAAAAGCCAACACTGCATTTTTAAAATATGGCAGCTTGTTTTGCAGGCATTCAGATTCTGCCTGAAAATAGATAACACAGCCATGGCGTGCATTTGCTTATATCTATCACCCTCTCTCCAAATGAACTTTCTGTCACCCTTGCAATCTCTCCAGGCCTATGGATATGCACTTTGTACATACCCTTGAAATTTGCCATGTATCCTTCTATGCTCTCTCTCCACTGTACACATATTCTATCTAAACAGGTCCACAATTTGCTTAGTTTCTGTGTTCTTGAAAAACTTTTTTCATTTTGGGAAACAGAACAGATTGGAGCCTTGGGCAAAGTAGGCGGATGGAAAACTTGCCCTTCTTACTCTTAAACTGGTTGAAGTCCATTGATTCCATTTGTACTGGAGCAGCTTCTGTAATTGAGTTTAAAGAGTAGAGTGCAGGAGCTAGTACATTCACCAACAGAAGTTTTGCTTCCATTGCCCACTTCTGCACTGACCGCTAACAGTAACTATGGAGGCAGCAGTTGGCACAAACCACAACGAAGCAATAATACTAAAGGGAATCTGGACTTTTACTCTAGTGAGAGGGAAGGAAAGAAAGGAGAGAAATGAAGAGCATTTATTCCCTGCTTCTCCCTATGCACTAGTTTGTTTTACAGTGACATTCTATCCTGAAGACTTTCTGCCACATTTGTGCATGCTTAAAAGTTGTGGCCATATTTGATAAGTTAAATAAAGCGTGAAGGCATCAAGGTGAAGCTTTAAAGGCTCAGTGGTAGAGGCTTGGAGGAGAGAGTTGACTTTGGCATGGCTTTAAAGAGTCTCTAGTGAGCTGATGAGCAGTTTAGGGAACGGTCTTTCTCTCCTTCTATTCCCAGGTGTACTTCTTGGGGGGAATGCCTTTGCGGTGCCGGTGTCTCTGTTTCACGTCTGTCCCATGATTTCTGCTGCTTACTCTGAGTTGTAGAAGTTGTGATGGCTATGGTTGTATTGGTCCTCATCTTCTCCAATGATGGGGTAGGAAGGTGTGAGGCAATACTTGGAGTCATAGACCTGCCGTGGCAGCCCATACACAGTCATGCCCTGCTGCGAGGCCCCTTTGTTGCTGCCCATCTGCAGGGAGATGTTCTGGGTGTCACAGTGCTCCATGCCCAGGGTGGGCTCAAAGATCTGGCGCTTGGTTCCAGGAGCTGTCATGCCCGCCTGGGGAGTGAGGAGAGGTGCAGGTGGGTGGAGGGGAAACAGACAAGGAAGAAGTAATTAGCTTAAGACTGTAAGCATGTTGCAAAAATGATGTAATGGAAGACACAAAGCTTGAGGTGAAATCCTAGTTTCCCTCAAATTTTAGAGCAGAGGTCCTCAAATTAAGGCCTGCAGGCTGGATGCGGTCCTTCAAGGTCATTTACTCAGCTCGTGCCCTAAACTTTAGACTTTGGGTTACTCTAAGTCTGAAACGACTTAAAGGCACACAACACAACAATTTTAATTAACTTGACTATCTCATCAGCCAAAAGCAGGCCCACACTTCCCATTGAAATATTGCTAAGATTTGCTGTTCATTCGTTCAGTTGGTTAAAATTGTATCGTTCTTTCATATTTTTTTGCATCATAAATAAGATATGTGCAGTGTGCATAGGAATCCGTTCAGGTTTTGTTCAAACTAGAGTCTTCCCTCACTCCCCTCCCAACAGTCCCAATGGCCCTTTGCTTTAAAAGTTTGAGGATCCATGTTTTAGAGCTTAGTGTAGCCAATAGGCCTTCATTAGGGTTGCTTGTGACCAGAATGCTCTTGTGCTGTCCAATATATAGAACACAGATATCTATTACTAAGATACACAAAGTATTATGTTATTGTTATTGAAGCTTCAAATATGATGTCATATGACAGATTTATTACTTATAAACATTTATTATTTACTAGCCGTCCCTTGCCACGGGTTGCTGTGGCCCACATGGGGATTCTGTGTGGGAGGTTTGGCCCAATTTTATCGTTGGTGGGGTTCAGAATACTCTGTGATTGTGGGTGAACTATAAATCCCATCAACTACAACTCCCAAATGTCAAGGTCTATTTTCCCCAAACTCCACCAGTGTTCACATTTGGGCATATTGAGTATTTGCGTAGAGTTTGGTCCAGATCCATCATTGTTTGAGTGCACAGTTATCTCGGGATGTAGATGAACTACAACTCTAAAACCAAAGGACACTTCCCACCAACCCCTTCCAGTATTTTCCGTTGGTCGTGGGAGAACTGTGTGCCAAATTTGGTTCAATTCCATCGTTGGTGGGGTTCGGAATGTTCTGTGATTGTAGGTGAACTATTACTCTCAGCAACTACAACTCCCAAGTGTCAAGGTTATTTTTCCCAAACTCCACCAGTGTTCACATTTGGGCATACTGAGTATTTGTGCCAAGTTTGGTCCAGATCCATCATTGTTTGAGTCCACAGTGATCTCTGGATGTAGGTGAACTACAACTCCAAAACCAAAGGACACTGCCCACCAAACCCTTCCAGTGTTTTCTGTTTGTCATGGGAGTTCTGTGTGCCAAGTTTGGTTCAATTCCATTGTTGGTGGAGCCCAGAAGGCTCTTTGATTGTAGATGAACTATAAATCCCAGCAACTACAACTCCCAAATGACAAAATCAATTTTTTTGAGTGAAGGACATACATTGGATTGTTAGGTGTGTTGTGTCCAAATTTGGTGTCAATTGGCCCACTGGTTTTTGAGTTCTGTTAATCCCACAAACGAACATTACATTTTTATTTTTATAGATTGTGTTTATAAGTAATAAACCTGTCATATGACATCATATTTGAAGTTTCAACAACAATAACATAATACTTTGTGTATCTTGTGCTGTCCAAAGCAGTGCTCTGGCTTTTATGATGGTATCTCTTTTCCTTTGTCTTCTAAGGCTGGGCTGTGTGCTTTTGAGAATTAAATACCTGACTTTGCCTCTTGATCATAAGAGAACTAACATACTAACATAACATATTTTTGAAGATTAGAAGTACCAGCTTTATGAGCCACCTTTAGGAGGAAAGAACAAGCTAGAACCTGCTCGGTCGTAATCTTATCTTCTGATAATGGCTCCTGCCTTGTCTGAACTTGCTTCATGTATTTTTTCAGAGGTAAAATCAAGGCAATTGGCTCTGAAAGAATCACAGGCTCCTTTTGAAATGATCGGGTTTAAATGGCCAGGCACAAAGATGGTAATATTTTTGTATGATACCTAAAAACTAGCTGTTACCAAAGTGCTAAATGCTTAAACATCTCTGACTGGTCCACAGAGAGGTGCACTTGCAGAAACGTGTAGACAAAGAATGTAATATAAAGTGTTAGTAACACATGCACAGCTGTTACCTTCAGAAAGTTGACTTGTAACACCACTGCTGTGTTTCATTATATTTTTGACATTTCTTGGGAACAGCCATTTGCTTTTCCTCTCTCAATGGGAACAACATTGCAATGGAAATTGAATAGTGACAGACACAGCACATCTGCTTTGGTAAGTGAAGCTATGCTGATGAATGGACTTTCCTTATTCTCCTTACAAAGTTGGGAGGAAAACAGATGGTAAAATATGTCTTCCCCCCAAAGATTATGACACTTGGAGGCTTTGGTCAAGACAAGAAAACTCAATCATGCAGAATCTATATAAATAAAAATGTAATGTTCGTTTGTGATACCATCAGAACTCAAAAACCACTGGGGGAATTGACACCAAATTTGGACACAAGACACTTGACAACCCAATGTATGTCCTCCGCTCAAAAAAATTGATTTTGTCATTTGGGAATTGTCGTTGCTGGGATGTATAGTTCACCTACAATCAAAGAGCATTCTGAACTCCACCAATGATGGAATTGGGCCAAACTTAGTACACAGGGCTCCCATGACCAACAGAAAAAACTGGAAGGGTTTGGTGGACATTGACCTTGAGTTTGGGAATTATAGTTCAGCCACATCCAGAGAGCACTGTGGACTCAAACAATGATGGATCTGGACCAAACTTGGCACAAATATTCCATATGCCCAAATATGAACACAGATGGAGTTTAAGGGAAATAGACATTGACATTTGGGAGTTGTAGTTGCTGGGATTTATAGTTCACCTACAATCAAAGAGCATTCTGAACTCCACCAATGATGGAATTGAACCAAACATGGCATACAGGACTTCCATGACTAACAGAACACACTGGAGTGGTTTGGTGGGCATTGACCTTGAGTTTGGGAGTTGTAGTTCACCTACATCCCGAGATAACTGTGGACTCAAACAATGATGGATCTGGACCAAACTTGACACAAAAATTCCATATGCGTAAATATGAACACAGATGGAGTTTGGAGGAAATGGACCTTGACATTTGGGATTTGTAGTTACTGGGATTTATAGTTCACTACAATTAAAGAGCATTCTGAAACCCACAAACAACAGAAATGGGGCAAACTTCCAACACAGAACCCCCATGACCAACAGAAAATACTTAAGGCCATCCAGTCCAACTCTCTTCACCAGGGCAAGAAAATGTAATCGGAACCCTCCTGACAAAGAGCCACCCAGTCATAAATATAGATAGATAGATATGATTCTCTCTCACACACACAGATATAGTATCATAGATTTGAAAGAGACACTTAAAGAAGGACTATGATATGTTGCATATTTCAGAGTAGGCAAACCAGACACTCTCCACATCAACAAAGGCAAAGAAACAACAAGAAATACTGTTTACTCACAAGCATAAAGGAATTACATATATTAGAGACCAACACTTTCTCATTACTTTATTTTCCAGATCACCAGACTGGGCCACAGCAACGCGTGGCAGGGGACAGCTAGTATTAAATAATGGAGCTGGCTCCTCACATGACAATTTTTGCATTAAATGTTTTTCCCTCTTTAACTTGAGCACTAACTATTCTCTAATAGCACATTTTCTCCATTCCTCTTTCTTACCTGGCTGGCTCCTTTGTTGGTTCCCATCTGTAGACTGATTGTGGCTTGATCTAGAGGCTGATCTGTGCCCAATTTTGGATCATAGAGGTGCCGACGTGTGCCATATGCTGTCATGCCCTGTTGGCTGGCAAACTTGTTGGTGCCCATCTGTGAATAATACAATGTTGACAATGAGAACGTTCATTCCAACTTTATCCTGTGTCTTTTTGGCTGTTAGATCTCCCTCGGATACTTGCGGATGAAAAACCCCACCATACCCTAATATTTGAACACTTCCTTATTTATAAATGTTACATTTCTGTTACCCAGTTTCACCCCCCTTTTCTAATGCTGCAGGCATCTGGATTAAGTTGGCTTTGTTGATGCTTCCTAAACTTCCACTTTCATTATCTTTGGGTTAAACCCCTGTGCCGGCAGGACTGAAGATGGACAGGTCGCAGGTTCGAATCCGGGGAGAGGCAGATGAGCTCTCTCTATCAGCTCCAGCTCCTCATGCGGGGACATGAGAGAAGCCTCCCACAAAAATGATAAAAACATCAAATCATCCAGGCGTTCCTTGGGCAACGTCCTTGCAGACGTCCAATTCTCTCATACCAGAAGCGACTTGCAGTTTCTCAACTCGCTCCTGACACGATAATAAACAAATAAATAAATAAATAATCTTTGAGAAAGGGTAGTGTCATGTAGTGCCACCAGATGGCAGTATATAGTCTAATACCTTCCATACAGTGGGAATAATATCTATATAAATAAAAATGTAATGTTCGTTTGTGGGATTAACATAACTCAAAAACCACTGGACAAATTGGCATCAAATTTGGACACAATACACTTATCAGGCCAACGAGTTACCATCACTTATAAAAACACTGAAAAAGACAGCAGAAGGGACTTAAAAAGCAAAAAAACCAACAACCCCAAAATACATTACAATGCATGCGCAAAACCACACACACACACACACAAACACATATATACACACACATATATGCATATACACACACAAAACGCATACACAGAAAGGGGGAAGGAAGGAGGGAAGGAGAGAAGAAAGGAAAGAAAATAGGGTAGAGAAGGAAGGAAGGAGAGAAAGAGGGAAAGAAAGAAAGGTAGAGAAGGAAGGAAGGAGAGAAGGAAATAAAAAAGTGAAAGAGGGAAGGAAGGAGAGAAGGAACGAAAGAGAGAAAGAGGGAGGGAGGGAGGGAGGGAAGGGAAGTGAGAAAAGAAACAGAGAAGGAAGAAAGAAGAAGGGGAAGAAAAAGAGGGAAGGAAGGAAAGAGGGAGGGAAGGAAGGAGAGAAAGAGAGAAGGAGACAAAGAGGGAGGGAAGGTTGGCCACAGCAACGCGTGGCGGGTACAGCTAGTAATAAAACTTTATTTATACCCCGCTCCATCTCCCCCAGGGGGACTTGGGGCGGCTTACATGAGGCCACGCCCATCAATACAATAAACGCAGTATTACACAAAAACATAAAATGCAAAAACCAATATAATAGACAATACAGCAATATAAAATAGGACATGTTGGTGCCTGATGTCAGAAGGAGGAACTAGCAAAAATACTTCAGTATTCCTTGACTAAGAAAACCCTATGAAATTTATGTAGTTGCCATAAGTCAGACAGGCAGCTTGAAAGCACATATCCTTTTTAAAGCTCAAGCTAATTGCACGGAAATTAGGACTTTCCAAGCCTCAGTAGTTTCCAGTTGCTTGTGCCATAACTATAGGCACCTCCAGAATGTCCAAGTACTGGACATTTTGGAAACTGGAAACAAGGAAAATGACTCACTGCCAACCACCTCACCTTCCACTACTATACTTTAAGGGCCCATATTTCTTTCTATGAACCAGGGAGACATCTGTGATTTACTGGGGAGGCCCTTCTCTCTGTCCCACTACCCGCTCAAACACACTTGGTGGGAACACATAGAATCATAGAGCTGGAAGAGAACTCATGGGCCATTCAGTCCAACCCCCTGCCAAGAAGCAGGAAGATTGCATTCAAAGCACACAGGAGAGGGCTTTTTCAGCAGCTGCTCTCAGACTGTGGAACTCCCTCCAAAGAGGGACCAGAAGGGCCCCATCCCTGCTGGCCTTCCGCAAGCAGGTTAAGACCTTCTACCAGCAGGCATCTGGGGAAGGATAAGGGCGGATTTAAGGAGGTGTGGGTAAGATTGGGGGGGGGGGGGAGAGAGTTTTAAAGGTTATTTTAAGTGTATTTATTGTATTTTAATCTGTTTTTAACACACTGTTACTATTGAATTGTTTTTCAACTTAGGTGTTGCACTTTTTAAACTTGACTAAGTGTGGGATTGTTAGCCGTCCATGAGGAGACAAGTGGGATATAAATAAACTACTTCGTCATCATCATCATCACCATCACCCTCGGTGGCGCAGTGGGTTAAACCCCTGTGCCGGCAGGACTGAAGACCGACAGGTCGCAGGTTCGAATCCGAGGAGAGGCGGAGGAGCTCCCTCTATCAGCTACAGCTCCTCATACGGGGACATGAGAGAAGCCTCCCATACGGATGATAAAACATCAAAAAATCATCCAGGCGTCCCCTGGGCAACGTCCTTGCAAACGGCCAATTCTCTCACACCAGAAGCGACTTGCAGTTTCTCAGGTCGCTCCTCACACGACAAAAAAAATAAATAAATCACCATCGTCATATAAAGGATTCTGAGATCAAACAACACACCTGCAGCCCAATGATGTTCCGGCCTTCTTTCAGCTTCTCTGGTTGAAATTTTCGTTGCTGTTTTTCAGCGTATTTCACTCCTATGTTCACCTTATTGCCTTTTGTCTTGGCCTGTGCCAGGGAAAGAAACAAAGTGCAAATGTAAAAGGGTTTCCTACTCTCTGGATCTTGTGCATAAAAAGGCAACTTGACTTTTCCCGTGGAGCACAATTTGCCTGTGTCATCAAGCTAAGAGCAAAAGGTGACTTCCCTTCTCAGACCTTGTTATAGTGCTCTAACTTGGGCTCAGAGTTCAACTCTGAAAAATGCTCTCCACAGAATGAAAGGTGCCATTTGCTCTAGACACCCTGTGACTTTTTCTAAGGGAATGGGAAATGGCTATGGTATGAGACTGGCCAATGTTAGACATTATGTGAAGGCATGCACTCAACATTTCACCAATGAAGCCACATCATAGTGCAATCAAAACGACAAAAGTTATTAATGCGGAAGAAAACATAAGTGAAGAGAGGCTGCAACTTTTCCTTTTATCTAGGCCTAAGTGGCAGCACCCACCCTCTTTCCTCCCGCTGCTGCAGAGTTAATGTAGAACTCAGTTTATGCCCAATAGAAGTAACCTGGAAGGGGGGGGGGGGGRGGAGAGAATTTGGAAGAAGAGAGAAGGGTGGGGCATTTAAAAAGCAGTAGAAACAGTAGGAACATAGCAGATTAATTCAGACTTTCCCTGCCCAATGGAGCAGGGTATGTGACTCTTTGGAGGCATAGTCCTCCACATATTCCCAGGCTTAGAGTTGATACTGAAAACAAATTCTAGGACAGAGTCTGGGCTGAAATTAAGCCTAATATATTGGGGTGGGGCTTTATCCTGCTCAACAAGAAATTCAGGGAGAAATTAGGATTGTCTTCGAACAAGAAAGCCAGCATGGTGCAGTGATTTGAACATTGGACTATGACTCTGGAGACCACGGTTCAATCCCCCATTCAGCTACAGAAACCCACTAGGTGACCTTGGGTGAGACATACATTCTCGGCTCCAGAAAACTGTGATGGGTTTTTCTTAGGGTTGCCATAAATCAAAAACAACAATAACAACATCTATGACAGCCTTTCTCAATATTTTTACCCTGGAGGAACTCTTAAAATAATTTTCAGAACTCACAAAGTCTGCATAAAAATTATTATATCTAGAGCTAAAAAAGTCCCCCCTCCCAATTACTATTACTAGTCACCACTGGCAAACAAACAAAACTTTGTGGTTTGCTTGTTTGTTTGTTTGTTTGTTTTTAATGCAATACAACTGTTTTGGCTCACTCCCGACATGATAAATAAAATAAACCACTGGCAGAACCTATGGATCTAGAGAACCCATAGAAGCCTGGTTGTAAAACTGTGTTGTAAGAGATAGAAACATAGACTAAGGGCATATAACAAGTAGAACTAGAAATCAAAGAATTACATTGCCTCAAACAAGGTGAAAAAATGCTGACATGGACAGGATATTAGTATGCTACCAAACTTATATTGAGTTATCGCTAATAGGTAGCAGCAGTGAAAAATATGAGCTAAGTTACTTTTCTGTTTTGAGCCCTGAACTCTCTAAAAGACTTCAAGAAAGCTATAATTCTCTGACCTCAGCCCCGTTTTGTTCTGCATTGATTAGTTAATATTTCTATCCCTCCTTTCAGGCCAGCTTACTTGGCGTTCCTTCTCATGTTATCCTTTCAACAAGACTGTGTGGTAGGTCTGGCCTTGAAAGAGATTGAGATCAAGATCAGAATGTCCATGGGCCTCCCTATGAATTCAGTGAAGTTTGGATCTAAAACTTGAATCTGAAACTTTTGCAGCTGCACTGTTTGCAATGTAAGGGCAAAGCTGAAAGCATTACTTGTAAAGATTGTGAAGGTTATGTTTCTGAAGCAGTTTCAATACACTTAGAACATTCTAAGTATTAATAATAGTACTCGGATACTCAGCCTTTGAGATTTCAAGCTGCTTACCATGCTAGCCAGGGCGATGAGGGTGGACTGGACCTGAGTGTGGTTGGTGTTCTCAAAGAGGTCATTGGCTTCGAAGATGTCATGGGGCTTCACTCCATATTTCGTGATGGCCTTAATGAAGTTGCCAATGTTCTCCAGCTGCAAAAGAGGAGAAGCCAATAAACTATCTTTGGGGTCTTCTTGCTCTCATTTTTTCAGGTAACCCAGGTAAAAGCTTCCTACTAGAGCTATTCAGATAATAATAATAATAATAATAATAATAATAATAATAATAATAATAATGCCAGAATTGAAAAGTCGACAACAGATCCCAAATGTAGACTCTGCAAGGAAGCAGAAGAAACAATAGATCACATCCTGAGCTGCTGCAAGAAGATAGCGCAGGCAGACTACAAGCAGAGGCACAACACCGTTGCTCAGATGATTAATTGGAACTTGTGCCAGAAATACCGTCTGCCTGCGACAAAGAACTGGTGGGATCACAAGTCAGAAAAAGTTACAGAGAATGAACACGCCAAACTCCTCTGGGATTACCAAATTCAGACAGACAGATTTTTGGAGCATAATACTCCCGACCTCACAATCATGTTAAAAAACAAAGTATGGATCGTTGATGTCGCAATCCCAGGTGACAGCAGGATTGCAGAGAAACAACTGGAAAAGCTGACACGATATGAGGATTTAAAGATTGAACTGCAAAGACTCTGGCACAAACCAGTAAAGGTGGTCCCAGTGGTGATCGGCACACAGGGTGCAGTGCCTAAAGACCTTGGCCTGCACTGAAACACAATTGGCGCTGACAAAATTACCATCTGCCAGCTGCAGAAGGCCACCTTACTGGGATCTGCACGCATTATACATTACACAGTCCTAAACACTTGGGAAGTGTCTGATGTGTGATCCAATTCAACAGCCAGCAGAGTGTGATTAGAACTTCCAGGATTAATGCGCAAAAGGCCAAATGTGTTTAGAGCTCGGAGAGAAAAATCATTTTGTTGTATCCTTATTTCCCTACAGAAGTATTCATTTCATACCGCCTGGGACTTGCCGTGGGATTGAATGATACATTTTTGAGGCTTATGATGCAAAGGAAAAAGGGGATGGGGAGTGAAGAGAACTCACCCGGTGCCAGTTCTGTGTGGACTCATTCACCTTCCTCACCGATCCAGGTTGGAGTTTGTTGATAAGCCTGAAAGAGAGAAATTGGTGAAGGAAGTCCATCTCCCAAGTGTCTTATATAGAAGAGTTGGAAGAAACATCCAGGGCCATCCAGTCCAATCCATTCTGCCATTCAGGAACACCCAATCAAAACACTCCTGACAGATGGCCATCCAGCATGTTAAAAATCTTAAGGAAAAAAGTCTCCACCACACTCATAGGCAGCATATTCCATTGTCAAACAGCTCTGCTTATCAAGAAGTTCTTCCTCGTCTTTAGGTGGAATATCTTTTCCTGCAATTTGAATCTGTCGCTCGGTTTTCTCATCTCTGTAGCAGCAGAAACAAGCTGATTCTATGATATCTTGACTATTATATCGTTTCACATATTTAACATATATGTTGCTCAAATGATCTATCGTACCTCATGTTTTTCCTACATGAAGCAGTATCTTCTCAGTCTGAGAAAGCACACTTTCAGTTTTAAGCAAAATTGTATGTGCTTTTCCTACACAGAAGTGATCTCCAAACAAAAGAACATTTCTGTTTGGAAAAGAATGGGACAACAATAGAATCATAGAGTCATAGAGTTGGGCCATCCAGTCCAACCCCTTGCCAAGAAGCAGGAAAATTGCATTCAAAGCACCCCCGACAGATGGCCATCCAACCTCTGTTTAAAAGCCTCCAAAGAAGGAGCCTCCACCACACTCTGGGGCAGAGAGTTCCACTAATGAACAGCTCCCACAGTTAAGAAGTTCTTCCTAATGTTTATTGGAATCTCCTTTCCTGTAGTTTGAAGCCATTGTTCCGCATCCTAGTCTCCAGAGAGCAGAAAACAAGCTTGCTCCCTCATCTCTATGACTTCCTCTCACATATTTATACATGGCTATCATGTCTCCTCTCAGCTTTCTCTTCTTCAGGCTAAACATGCCCAGCTCTTTAAGCCGCTCCTCATAGGGCTTGTTCTCCAGATCTTAGATCATTTTGATCACCCTCCTCTGGACACATTCCAGCTTTCCTCCCTTCAATTGTGGTGCCCAGAATTGGACACAGTGTTCCAGGTGTGGTCTGACCAAGGCGGAATAGAGGGCTAGCATGACTTCCCTGTATCTAGACTCCAATTGATGCAGGTCAAAGTCCCATTGGTTTTTTTAGCTGCTGCATCACATGGTTGGCTCATGTTTAACTTGTTGTCCACAAGGACAATCAGCACAAAGTTGTTCTGTATTTTTTATATATTATTATGTTTTTTTTTCTTTAAGGAATACTTCCTTCCAAAGGAATTGATGTACTTTGAGAGGTGCCAAAAAGTTAGGAAAAAGTAGTTTATTGTTCCACAGATTCCTCACCATGTGCTCTGTGAAAGAGCGCAGCTTTCCAAATGTAAGGAAAGAGACTAAAATTTCATTTGTGAATAGGTAGGGAAAGAATTAATGAAACTGTGCTGTCGCGCGCTGGGCCTGTGATTAAAGTCTGTTTAGAGGACACGCTTTCTGAATGCCCAACGGGACGCCGGGGTTGCCTCAGCTAAAGGGTCCCTTAGGTTTCCCAACACAAAGTTCTGTAGAGGCTCAAAGTAAGTTCAACAAAGTTCTTTATTAAGGCTTAAATCTTCGGACAAATGAATTAAGTGCTTTATAATCTTGAAAAACTAGTAACTTTTTCGATCTACCAACAAGGGACAGGCAACTACTTGATAAACTGTTCCTTTCTTTCTTGGGGAAACCTTCTGACCCCTCCTTGGGCAATCTTCCTTTACCTTACTGGCGTGAGGCCCCTACTCCTGGCTCCAATCTGCTTTATGGATAGCCCGAGTATCCCTTACCAGATAGATCTGCCAAGCTGGTGTCCTTTAGATTTTCCAAGAAGGTTGTGGAACCATTCCTTTTGCCTAGCAAAGCTGGCTTTATTTCCCAGCAAATCTAGCTGTATTTCCCAGCAAAGCTGGCTGCATTTCTTTTCCCCCAGCAAAGCTGTGAGAAATGAAGCCTTTTTGCAGGTTGGAGAGAAAAGTCCACACGTCCTGTCTGTTAGGCTCCAAGCTGTGAGACTGAACTAAAAATCCCCCTTTCCCTCCAAACCTGGGGAAAGGGGCGGGTGTAAAGGCTCTAACGATGATTGATAGGTTGTTGACCCTATGATTGCAATCTGGGGAAAGCTACCCAATTGCAAAATGCATGGCCCAGATGAATTCAAACAAACTAACAGTGCAAGAAAAAGAATCAAATCTCCTGGCACAGCTGTGCCAGCACAGAAACTCACTGTGCAATTACAAAGACCAAAAATAAACGAGGAATTAAATGGATATAGATGAAAAGCAAAACAGTTTGTAGCAAGTATAGATGAATTAGACACCCCCACCCCCAAAAAAGGGACAACAATCTGACTGTAAGTATTGTTGTTATTAATAAATGGGATTGAACAGAGCAGATATTAAAGAACAAGGTTCTGTAACTCATAGCCAGATTTTCACTGTTGTTGGACTTCCTTTGCCCACCCTCTTCCGGCAAAGACCTCCGCCCTCGGGCTCCTTACTCGCACAGGATGACTCCATCTTTCAGACTTTCCATGAAGTTTTCTCCAATGCGCCTCCCCGTCACTTCCTCGATCCATACCCGCAGTTCATGCTCCCTCTGGGGGTCATATTTTTGCGCTAGCTGTAGAGAAGAACATCATATTTCAAAATTACATCAAAAACTCAACAAGTATCCCGCCACTAGTGTAGCACATAACACCCACAGCTCTTTTGATGCACTGCCGTTTGAGTTTGAACCTACAATCAACCTGTCCACTTAAGATAATGCATCATTTTCCACTAAAAAGTGAACACACCATGTCCAGCCACTTTTCAAAGAAATGACTCCTGTTCCACACCATATTGCCTAACAATCTTATGTCTGTTAATACTTATCCTGCGTTGACAACCAACTGAACTTGCTTATTTCTCTAAAACAGTTAATACACATACTCCTTCCTAAGGTAATGTGCTAATGGTTAAATGTATTGGTTGAACTTGATTCTGTAGAACAGTGTTTCTCAAACGGTGCTCCTCCAGATGTTTTGGACTTCAGCCCCCACAATTCCTAACAGCTGATAAGCTGCCTGGGATTTCTGGGAGCTGAAGTCCAAAACACTTGGAGGAGCACAGTTTGAGAAACACTGCTGTAGGATATACAGTACAACCCCCATATCCACAGCGGATATGTTTTCCAACTTCCTGTGGGTACACAAAACTTCAGATAATAACAAACCCCGTTGATATTAATTATATTAATTATTTATTAATTATAATATAATATATTGTAAATACATATAATATTTATAATATTATTATGTAATACAATATAATACTAATAATAATAATACGATATTATAATTATATATTTTATATTACATGTAATATTACTAATAATATTACAATATAATTGTATAGAACAATAAAGTGATGTATAGCGCTGGTATAATGTATTGTGTGTGTGTATATATATATATGTGTGTGTGTGTGTGTATATGTGTGTGTGTGTGTGTGTGTGTGTGTATATATATATATATATATATATATATATATATATATATGTAAGCCGCTCTGAGTCTCCTTTGGGGTGAGAAGGGCAGCATATAAATGTCGCAAATAAATAAATAAATAAATAAATAAATATTAAGGTGTTCAGGCTTAAGTATACCCAGGGGCAGCTCAACCCATTACGCAAAGTAAGCATTTACAGTATAGTTGATTTTGCCCAGGGGCACTCTTGGGGGGAAATAGACCTTGACATATGCGAGTTGTAGTTACTGGGATGTATAGTTCACCTACAATCAAAGAGCATTCTGAACTCCACCAATGATGGAATTGAACCAAATATGGCACACCGAACTCCCACAACGAACAGAAAATATACATCAATGATTGGTTGGGGGGGGGGGGCGCTAAAATACTTTTGCTTACCATTTAAAATTACCTAGGGGGGGGGGGCAAAATACTGTTTGCTTAACGTTGAAAATTACCTAGGGCCGCCTCTGAGTATACCATAGAGCAGAGGTCCCCAAACTAAGGCCTGTGGGCCAAATCCGACCATCCAAAGTCATTTACCTGGCCCCTGCCGTAAACTTTAGACCAGTGTTTCTCAACCTGGGGGTCAGGACCCCTGGGTGAGTCGTGAGGGGGTGTCAGAGGGGTCGTCAAAGACCATCGGGAAACAGTGTTTTCTGTTGGTCATGGTGGTTCTGTGTGGGAAGTTTGGACCAATTCTGTCTTTGGTGGGGTTCAGAATGCTCATTGATTGCCGATTTCCCCCAAACTCCACCAGTGTTCATATTTGGCCATATTGAGTTTGGTCCAGATCTCTGGATGTAGGTGAACTACCACTTCAAAACTCAAGGTCAATGCCCACCAAACCCTTCCAGTATTTTCTCTTGGTCATGGGAGTTCTGTGTGCCAAATTTTGGTTCAATTCCATCATTGGTGGTGTTCAGAATGCTATTTGATTGTAGGTGAACTATAAATCCCAGGAACTACAACTCCCAAATGACAAAATCAACCCACCCCCCCTCAACACACATACCAGTATTCAAATTTGGATGTATGTTCCAAATTTGGTCCAGTGAATGAAAATACATCCTGCATGTCAGATATTTACATTACGATTCATAACAGTAGCAAAATTAGAGTTATGAAGTAGCAACAAACATAATTTTATGGTTGGGGGTCAGCACAACATGAGGAACTGTATTAAGGGGTCACGGCATTAGGAAGGTTGAGAAACACCGGTTTAGACTAAGGGTTGCCCTTAGTGTGAAACGACTTGAAGACGCACAACAACAACTTGATAGACAAGTAATTAACTTGACTATCTCATCAGTCAAATGCAGGCCCATACTTCCCATTGAAATACTGGTGTGGTTACAATTGTTCTTCATTTAAAATAATGTACTGTTCTTTCAAAAACATTTGCACTACAAATAAGATGTGCAATGTGTATAGGAATTCATTCATTTGTTTTTCAAAGTATAGTCTGGCCCTCTAACAGTCTGATGGACCATGAACTGGCCCTCTACTTAAAATTTTTGAGGACCCCTGCCATAGAGTCATGCTAGGTAAGGGTAAAGGTTTTCCCCTGACATTAAGTCCAGTCATGTCCGACTCTGGCGTGTGGTGTTCATCTCCATTTCTAAGCCGAAGAGCCAGCATTGTCCCTAGACACCTCCAAGGTCATGTGGCCAGCATGACTGCATGGAGCGCCTTTATCTTTCCACCAGCATGTTTTCAAACTGCTAGTTTGGCAGAAGCTGGGGCTGACAGCGGAAGCTTATGCCGCTCTCCGGATTCGAACCTGAGTCTTTTCGGTCATCAAGTTTAGCAGCTCAGTGGTTTAACCCACTGCGCCACTGGGGCTCCAGAGTCATGCTAGAGAACCTAAAAAATGTCTAGAGGTTGTATTTCGTATATATATGAACCTATGCATACCAGTCCTGCAGATACAGAGATCATACTGAATGCATCTTTCAAGAATGTACAATAACACCCACACGTCAGAATCAGCAGCAAAAGAAGGTCTGGGTATCAAGGCAGGCCTCTTCTCCTTTCCTTCTTATAGTTTACACTCAGATTATCCCTGTGTCTTGTAAGCATTTCTATGTAAACGTTTTGTAGTTTATGACAATTCACATTTTATAGACTACTAGCCGTGCCCTGCCACGCATTGCTGTGGCCTAGTCTGTGTATATGTGTTTTGTGTGTGTATATATATTTGTGTTTTGTGTATATGTGTGTGTATATATATATGGTTTTGCGCATGCATTGTAATTTTTTTTTGTTTTTTTGCTTTTTAAGTCCCTTCTGCTGTGTTTTAATGTTTTTATGAGTGATGGTCACTCATTGGCCTGATGGGTGTCTTGTGTCCAAATTTGGTGTCAATTCATCCAGTGGTTTTTGAGTTATGTTAATCCCACAAAAACATTACATTTTTATTTATATAGATAATATTGTGGTTCATCAAGAGAAAAAAACCAAGTGAATGTAATATTAGCAAGATGAGAACAACGTAGAGCTATGGAGTATGAGCATAGTTGGATGATACTCGGACAGCGATTGTTGATGGGGTAAACCCATGCATTTAATTTGTAAGATATTTAAGTAAATATAAGGGCAATGGAAACTTAAAACCAAGCAGAGAGGATGACGTATCACTAGAATTTGGGTTTTTATGGGAAAAGCAACCTTGGCTGGAGCTTTCCTCTTTATTTGGAAATGTGCTTGCAAACCAGGGCCTTCTAAGGGCTTTGCCCCCAACCCCCCTTTTCACCCTGACACACGGATCCTGGTCTCCATTGGCCTCCTGGGAACAGGCAGCAGGAGTGACAGGCGATGGCTATGAGGACTTTATAATCTTGCAAGAAGTCCATGACAGCACGTGATCTTTTTGAAAGATCCATGCTCTCTGCCAGCCAAAAAGGCCAGATGCTAAAGTCCTTACGATACGTCTGCTGCACAGACATGTCAATATTTCTATGCACTTCTGTTGGTTTATTTTTATTTTAAACTAGCTGTCCCCTGCCACGCATTGCTGTGGCCCAGTCTGGTGATCTGGAAATAAAGTAATGAGAAAGTGTTGGTTTCTAATATATGTAATTTCTTTATGCTTGTGGGTAAACAGTGTTTCTTGTTGTTTCTTTTTCAGTGTTGATGTGGAGATTGTCTGGTTTGCCTACTCTGGAATATGCAACATATCATTTGTCCTTCTTTAGGGGTCCCTTTCAAATCTATGATGCTATATCTCTGTGTGTGAATCATATCTATCTATCTATTTCTATGGCTGGATGGATCTTTATTGGGAGGGTTTTGATTACATTTTTTTGCCCTGGTGAAGGGAGTTGGACTGGATGGCCTTAAGTATTTCCTGTAGGTCATGAGGGTTCTGTGTGGGAAATTTGCCCCAATTCTGTCGTTTGTGGAATTCAGAATGCTCTTTGATTGTAGGTGAACTATAAATCCCAGTAACTACAAATCCCAAATGTCAAGGTCTATTTCCGCCAAACTCCATCTGTGTTCATATTTGGGCATATGGAATATTCGTGCCAAGTTTGGTCCAGATCCATCATTGTTTGAGACCACAGTGCTCTCTGGATGTGGGTGAACTATTATTTGTAAGTATTGTCAAAGGCTTTCATGGTTAGCATATTATTTGAGAACACAAGAAATGCTGGACCACTCTCACAACCACCATGTCAGACTACACAGAGAAGCCATTGAAATCCACAAGCATGTGGACAATTTCAACAGAAAGGAAGAAACCATGAAAATGAACAAAATCTGGCTACCAGTATTAAAAAACTCAAAAATTACAACAGCAAAACAACAGAGAGTAAACAATCAGGTACATCAAATCACTCTCAACAAAAGATTCCCCCCAGGCACTTCCAAGCCATTAAATGCTAATCAAGGTGGTCAGTTGAAACATTCACACCTAGCTGCAGCAGACAAAAGTCCTTTGTCCCACCCTGGTCATTCCACAGATATATAAACCCATTTTCCTACTTCCAACAGACCTCACTACCTCTGAGGATGCTTGCCATAGAAGCAGGCGAAACGACAGGAGAAAATGCCTCTAGAACATGGCCATATAGCCCGGAAAAACCTACAACAACCCATATAGATTAT